GTATGGGAACACTATTATAGGATCTACTGACTGGCCACTTGCAGAAAAATTACACAATACTGTGATACACTGTTTTTCTTGTCCTGATGCAATGTTATAAAAGTTCTTATATGCTTTAGGTCCAGAAGTTTTCCAGGTTTTGGACAAAACAACATCCCTGTTTCATCTGCATTGAAGATACGGGAAGAATTTTGTAGAATATCACTTGCATGTTCTTCTCTCAAATAATTATTTAATTCTTAAAACCAATTCTTTATCGTCTCTTTTGAAACTGCTGCTCGAGCTTTGTATATCACTTCTGTATTCTTTGCTGCTACATTAGGGTGTCTTTTTAAAAAAGCTTTAGCCATTTTTTTCCTGGTTGTTAAATGACAGGTAAAAATGTGATTTATTTATCAAGAATTTTAAAATAGTAGAGGCATTTCCATATGAAGTTGATTTAAAATTAATTTGTATCCTCAAAAAATCTCACTAATATTTGTAAAACCATGTAAAAATATTGGTAACATTTGAATGCAAAGAATATGAAAACAGATAAACAATAACATTGAAAATGTAATAAACTGACAGAAAGTAAAACTAACATGTTTTTCATTTTTAACAGATAATTAAGATGATTAATGCTAATACAATACAATAATAAAATGAATATTCAGTAGTGATTTGTTTCAACAATACTCTGTATATAAAATTCATTAAAATTAATACAATGGAACCTCACTTAACAAGCATAATTCATTCCGGAATCTTACTTGTAATGCGAAACACTCATTAAGTGAAACGATTTTTCACATATAAATTAATGTAAAGTATGATAATGCCTTCCATGCCAAAACAATATTCAAATATTTTATGTATAATGTTTATTCAAAGAAAATTATTCAGTATACATTGTTAAGGAGTATGAATCATCATCATTTCTTCTAGCATGGAATGAATCAGTCTGGAATGAGAATTTGATTTGCAGAAAAAGAAATGAAATTTAATACGATATGTCAGCATAACTGCCTACTTCTAGTCAAATTATTTAATCTCTAATATTTAATTATAGCCTTTACACAGTCCAAGAATTTGGCATATGGTTTGGTGTTTTTTTTTTTATATAATGGGCTATGGTTGTTGATGTTTATGTGTAATATATCTGAACACAAGTTTGGAAAAATGTATGATCTCAAGGGACACTAGATGCTAGCAGAACGAGTGCTAAACACACTGATGTAGCATGTGCACAATCTGGGACTTTCCTTCTTGTCACTCATTATGCAAAACGTTGCTCATTAAAGTGAGTCATTTTTTTACAATTTGTTTTGCTTATGAGAGGTGCTTGTTAAGTAAGGTTGCACTGTAGTTTACAAATTTAACTTTTCTATTGAAAATGAACAGTCTATAATATAACAAAAGGCATTGGATAAAAGTTCTTGTTATTGTTGCTTTACCATATTTGTCAACAGATATAGTGACTTATTTCTTGTTTTTAAACTTATAAATGGATTTTAATGAAATAATAATTATTATTGCTATGTTTTTACATTTGTATAATTACCCTCGTACATTATCTCTTGCTTTCACCATATTTTCTCATTTTCACATTTACTATTCCTCACCAGATTTCTATCTTTTGATGTTGTTAATCTTTATGTTTAATTAAATTGGAAAGGAACAATATTTATTAAAATTTTCTCATTCTTCTGAATCATTTATAACCTTAAAAATAGATCTAAATCACTAAAAGGGCTCAGCTAAATAATTACCAGTAAATAGTTTTTAAGCTTTGTACTGTCTCCAAGCAGTTGCTTGGTAAAATTTTGTATTGTTTTATTTTGCTAACAGCCATGTTTCAACTTGAATAGCAATAAACTTATGAAATAAATTTTATGACTCCCGGAAGCATCAAAAATATAGTCCGTGTTCTCCACAAACAAACATAAACTCTTGTTAATAAGCATTTCAACAGCCTGTGCAAGATTTGTGAAACATTTCATATATATCTATACTGGTAAAAGCATATCTTATCTGCTTTGTAATCATCATGCGCACACTAGTGATTTTATAAGCACTTACATAAAATTTTACAAAGTATTGTCTTCATTTTCTGCCAGAACTGTTATTGAATTTCATAAATATTTTTATTTGTGCTGTTGTTTATAATTTCATTACTTTCGTGGAAAGCAGTTCCCCAATTATCATTATCTTGATTACACAAATCAGTAGCTCTGACAGGAAGTATGGAGATATTTTATTGAGACAGTTTTGTTATAACAGAAATAATGTGAGTAACTAAACTTAAATGTAAATAAAATTTGTCATTTATATTTTCTATTTGACAATTGACAAACAAAATTATTTAAAATTTATATATTTTTTTCATCTTGGTAGAATATTAATTTTAAAAAGTTAATCTCTGGATGTTAAATAAATTATTACCCTTGTTTAAATGTTTGGATTGGTGAAATAAGTTAAACTTAGAATTAACATTTAAATAAAGCCTGTAAATGTTCAGTATTTAGTTTTGTATTTTAAATTTGAAGGTGACTCATAAATATGGTCTACAATATTTGTTTTTTAATAATAATTATTTACTAGATTAAAGGTTGTTTTTTTCTATTCTAGTTATCCGGTTTTTGGCCTCTGCAGGTTTAATAAAACTTTAAATAAATACTTTCTGTAATTGAAATCTTATATTGAAATTGAAATAAATCTTTTTCTGTACTAAAGTCACAATGGGCATTTTTAAAAAATGCAAAAAGTCTTCTGTGCACTCCAAAACATTTTGAACTTTGCTACTTTTTAGTTAATTTTCCATCTTTTCAATGTAAATTTTCATATGTATCTGTATTAATAATGTTTTCAAGAATTGGAATTAGCAAATGTTTAATAGTAGCATTTATATAGTGATATAATCTGGCAATTGTTGGATGTTAAATATTTAAGAGTTGGTATTAACAAATATTTTTGACATACAATAATGCAGGCTGGCTGTTAATTTTAATTTATTATGAACTTCTCAAACAGTTTTTTTCTTTTCCTTTATCTAAAGTCATCAAAAGTCTCTTTAGAAAACGTTGAAAAATATTTTAATTCTATAGATATATCTATTTGTTGTTGCAAATTTTCTCAAAAATTACCAAAAGCCCATATTTGTATTCCATTCCTTTAGTCTTTTCCATTTATTTTCTGTTCCCACAACAGCAAACTAAAAAACTCCAGCAAAGTTTTAAACAAGGGTAAAAATGTTAGAAATTAAACAAAGGCCATCTTCAGCTATCTAAGGTCATCAAATTTAACAACTGAGTTCTGAGAATTCTTAAGGGTTATACATAAACTGTATAAAATTTTAATGTAGTAAATGAAGTCCACTGAAGCTCAACCCCTCCTCTCCCCTTATCAAACTTTGTCCAACTTATCAAAACTAACTTTCAATTTGGACGTCATTTATGTACAGCCTCAAAATCTGATGCAGTATAACCTGATTGCTTTGAACAAGGTAAATCAAGCATACTCCAAAACATCTTAATGTATCATCAGCAAAGAATGTTTGTCTGAAACAAATTAAAGTTTTTTGTTGGTATTTTATGGTTTGTTTTGCATGGGATTTTAAAGTTATGAAGTTTATTTTATTACAGAATGATTATTTTCTCTGCATTAATCCACCATTTACTTAATGCTAATAAATAAAATTTAATATGTGACAACTGAAGGAGCATGTAGCTTGGACTTTTTAATGTGATGTGCTTATGGAGAATCAAGAATTGGCAGATAGAAACTCTGTTATGTTCAAATGATTAATACATCTAAAAAGATAAGCATCTTGACCTTTAAATCTTCTAAAAGAAGGATTGTAACACTTCATAAATATTGTGACAGACAAATATTTGCAATATTTTAACAAAACTCTCATCTTGGAACCAATCTAAAACTTGTCTCACATTTGGTGATGCAAGTATTTTACTGGTTATGCCATTTTAACACTACTGTATCTGGAAATTAATTTTACATTTGACTATGAGTTTAACTGTATTTATCACATTAAAATATTTCTGTCAAAAAGCTGCAACTTGGAAAGGTACTTTACTAGTTATTGTGTTCAGAGTCATAGCTCAGGTTTTCTTCTAGTCATGTGTACTTTAGAATTACCATGTGACATAAACATCAACTTACTTAATTGTATGAAATTCTAATTTAATTTTCTTCGGAAATGCATTGAAAATTTGTCTTCTGGCGTGCATTTTTTATTTATTAAATTTTTCTATTAATAAAATTGTCCTTTGATTATTACAGAAATGTATTGCATGATTAAACTGATTTTCTTTTGAGAGTTAAAAGACAGATAGAGATGGCCTGGTATTGTACAAGATTTAGTCTTACTGCTGTAACTGGAATTTAAAGGCCTGGAGAAATTATTCATATGGTTTGCGTTTTAAACTTTCATGCTTAGGTGCTTAACACACTCAACTATCTTTGTTATGACACTGTTGATGTATGTAGGAATGTAGTTTCAGATCTCTTCTGAAATTAGAATCTTTTTTGTGGGTCATAATATTTTGTTTAAAGTATCTGATTTGTAAATTAAGGGTTTGGTGTCCATAAGTGAGAGATATGGTAATACTATGCTTTTGTTATAAATCATTGGATGAACAGATAAGTCATAGAATGATTTATGACATTAGTAATTGATTGGAGAAGAAATATCAGGTGAATGAGAGTTTGCTGAAGCAATCCTTTATAAACAAAAATGTGTGTGATTGACACTAGCAAGGATGAGTCTGTGTTAGTATCCAAAAGATATAAATTATTTGAATTTAATAGGATCTGGAGCCTATCTCAGATTGCCAACATACACTTTCTGTAAATGTTTCAAAATCCAATTTAGATATTGAATAGCTCTTGGGCAAGATTTATGAAATAACCCTTAATAATTATATAGAGAAAAGATTTTGATGTTATAAACGTTTACTATATAGCTTGGTGATTTATAGTAATTATCAATTTGTTTTTTTCAGGAATGTGAATTTTACAAAAACTATGTCTCAGACAAAAATTAAGCTAAAAGATCTTAACATCCATTTAACTTGTGTATTGTGTGGAGGTTATTACATTGATGCAACCACTATCATTGAGTGCCTTCATTCATGTAAGTTCTTCTTACCAAGAAATTTTGCTCTAAAATAATGTTTTCAATTTTCTAATATCAATACTTTTAATACAGCATTGTTTATTTAACATAATATTTTCAGTTTGTAAAACTTGTATTGTCCAGTATTTAGATACTCATAAATTTTGTCCTATATGTGATGCTCAAGTTCACAAAACTCGTCCTCTTTTGAATATTAGGTAAGAATTTGTGCATGTAAACTTACTTTATTTTCATTTATTCACCAATAACTGTTTTTGGATTTGTACATTTTTGTAGATCAGACCAAACTCTTCAAGATATTGTGTATAAATTAGTTCCTGGATTATTTAAAAGTAAGTTTTATTTTAAGTTTAAGATGAATTTGATGACTACATAGTCAACATGACACTCAAAACACATTATGCGATGACAAGTAATATAAAATTTTGTAATTTTTGCTGTTAAAGTAACTTAAACATATAATATAACTCTAAATTTACTTTGATTGATTTAAAGTAAATCTAGTTTGAAAGGTCCAAGATGTTAAGAAACAAACCTTGCATCAGAGTTTGTTAAAAAAAAAAATCATAAACTTTTTTAAACTAGAAATGCCAGTTCTTACTACAAAACAAAAAATATATATTACAACAACAAAACAAATATTACAAAAATAAAAAGTTACAAATTACAATTATTTCCATATCTCATACTTAACCTGAACCTAGGAAAACAAATCTAGCAGAAGATATTGCTAGATTTTGTTTTATTTAATCAGCATCAATGACTTACAATTCATGCTACACACTGACTAGTGGAAGTGAAAATTAACTTGCTGTGTTAGATTAAAAGATGTTTTTATATATATTACTAAATTGCATACTGCAATTGCTTACAAGAAATAAGATTTTGCATAACTTGTCTCTTTACTAACAAAGAGAATCTTACAAACATGCTTCAATGATTTAGATTAGCATTCTCATAGTTATTCTGAGCATTAAAAATTTATTTAAATAAAAATAAATTATATACACACCATCAAGTGAGTATTTGGTTTCTCTCCCAAACAAAATAAACATATCCCTATAAAATAACAAGAAAAATGAATGACGAGTAGAAAAACAAACATATCACATAACACTTGATAAAATTAACAAGATTTATAAGTTTTGATCTGATTCATGCATGCTTTTAAAAAGTATTCTCTGTAAAGCTGTAAGTTCATTTCTGCATTTTATTGATGATGACGGATTGTTTTCTGACCTTTAGGATAGATAGATATTGAGAAAATTAGCAATTTTTGGAAACTTGATATATCAATACTTCAAATGTTTATCTATGGCTTTACAGTGGATACTTTTAGTTCCCAGAATAACTATGCAAAGACTGATTCAATTCTGCATAAAACATTTTTGAGCCTTACCTTGTAAGACCTACCTGTAAGAATAAATTTTAAATAATTTTCTTTTTATAAATATATGACTTAAATATTAAATTAGTGAGATGATATTCCGTTTATAATCTAAAGCTTACTATGAAATTATACAAATGAAACTCTAGTTGGTAAGTTTTGAGATAGTAGTTGAGATTTTAACACAGTTCAACACTTAAAACTCAAACAAAATGGAAAACAATAATAATGAAATATAAGTATTGAATATGAATTAATTTCCACTTTTGCTACTTCACAAATTTATAGAAGTTATCTATTTAACTTCTGATAAATTTTTAACATCATTATTAGAATTATCATGTAAATGGAGAAATGTTGATTAGGATGGTGTGCTACAAACAAGTCAAACTTTTAAGTAAAGCTATTTAATGCCCCCTTCATAGGTAACAGGGTAGCTTATATATGAAAACAACATACAGAAGAAACTCTAAACTTATTTCTATAAATCAACCACAAGTTTATTTTGATATAGAGCTGGCACAGCAATAAGCTGATTGCTATCAGCTAGTTGATCACTGCATCATTTTTGGTTAATCACAAATAATATAAACTTATAATTTTTTGCATTTATTATTATTTAATTTTATTAGGAATATTAACTCATATTTACCACAGAACTATTTTAACTTGCTGTAAGTTTGTTGTTAAGGTTGTATTCTAAGGTCATGTGTGTTTGTCTCTGTTTTCATTGTGGCACAATGAAAAGAATGCATGTAGGTACTAAATGAGAAACAGGAAGTAGTAGAATGTTCTCTTCGCAGCTAGTTTATGCTATTATTTTACAAATTTTATTGTGCTAAAAACAATTTCAGTTATGTGCAAATGAGTTATGAATTCTATAAAATCAGATACATTTCAAGAGAACTATTTTTATTAATAATATTAAAGAAAAGGAACAGATCTAACAATTGACTGATTTGTTAAATCATCTGAAAATTGAGTCAACAAATTTTGAAATAAATTATTATTTATCTGCAAAACTTATTTCAATACATTTTCATCATACATAAATAATAAATATTTAAAATGACAGTTTGAATTTGACACTTTAGCATTCATAGGCTCTTACATTAATTACCATAACAAAATTTTATTTTACATTTAATATATTATAAGTAATAACAATTAGAAATTATCTATTTAGTGCTTAAAACTTTTCATATCTAAAATTTGTTTTATAACAGATGAAATGAAACGTAGAAGAGAATTCTATGCGCAACATCCTGAAGTTGGTAAGTTAAATTTTAAAAAAGTTATATTAGCATGAATGTGATTCAACTCACAAANAAGCACATAAGCACTGTAGTACTTTTAACTTTGACTGTTTAACCGAATAATACTAGAATAATTCTAGTACTTTTTGCAGATTTTTAGTTTACCTTACAGTGGTTTCCATATCTAAACTAATAAAAATTAATGAAATCAGTAGTTAATATTTTGACTGGTTTGTTTGAAAATTTTAAAGCTCATTATTGTTGTAATTATAAAAAAGGTTACTTCTTTTTACTATGAAAATTATCATGTTAAAATTATTTTAAGTTTGAAGATGGAAGAAATGCTTATTATTTATTTTAGTTGAAATGATAAGAAATGATTGCTGGATTAAATCTGATACTTTACTACTACTATTATATTAAATACTGAGTAATTTGGTACTGGAGGTAGGCATTAGGTGTCGTCACTTATTAAATTTAATGTAATATAAATCTGGCAATCATTTTGCTTATAAAAATATTGGACTTTGATATGTTTATATTAATTGTAATACCTTTTTGAAGTGATGAGCAGTATAAGACAANTTCCATGTTGTACGAGTCACTTAGATTTTACAAATACGTGTGCCGGGCTGTGAACAGCTCACGTATTTGTAAAATCTGAGTGACTCGTACAACATGGAATTCATATAAAACGAGAAAAATCAACAGTGTTATAGGGGGTCGACTGGTAATTATACTACATCTGGATTCGGCCAAATCTACAATGGGTTCGACCGGGTGATACGGAAAAGGACCTATCCGGGACCATGGAGCTACAAACGGCGTGTCAGTAGTGTCCGACACATGTGTGCATAAACTTTAGTTGGCGCCCCTATAAATAACCCCACAATAAAAAATCACTTTATAAAAACGTATCAGTGAATACAAAAGAATTAAGAAATACTACGTATATCTACATATAAATGAGGATGTTTGTTCGTTCGCTGTGTTTGTTTCGCCTAGGCCATTCGACTAATTGCTACGAAACTCTGTTGTTATGTTCACATACTTGTAATTTAGAGTTCCCACCCGAAATTATTATTAGATTTCTATATATCAATCAATTACTGTCTACATTCGATTTGCTGGCTTTACGTGTAGCACCATGTATTGGAAACAATTTAACAAAATAATTAACTAAATATAATTCATACAAAAAAGATATTTAAAAAAACAAATGTTCTATTTGTGAGATTAGCTGAGGGCCAAGGGGGCAATTCCTAATGATTACTTACTTGGCATGGGTTGGTAAAACCCGAGCTATGTCAATTGGATGGTGCTTTCATAATTAGTTGGCGAGATTGCAAGATCCGGCCAATGTCAGGATGCTGATACCAGTTAAGATAGAGTTAAACGTGTCCTAATCCTCTAGGATGATCTAAATTATTGAGTTGGGAGGTCGGTGAGTAAGTTGATAGGTGTCAGGTTTTCCAAGGAAGACAGGCCATAAACAATAAACAACACAGGTTTATTTTAACTCAATCTAAGACATACAAAGAACTATGTAACATACAATTAATTTAAAAACTATATAGAGAGTAGCTATATAACACAATGCAATTAGCCTACTTTGTATGGCAATCGTGTCGGCGTTTTGATACCCCTTATATAAATAATCAAACATCCTCACTACATGATGTAGTAAGGATGTTTGATTATTTATATAGGCTTTGCCAGGGTTTGCGATGCTGGTTGAGTGCCTTGGGAGTTGTTTGCACATTGTGGGCACTGAATGCGTCCCCAGCTGGCATTGTAATAACTGTCGTCAGCTTATATATGTTGGAAGAGTATATTGGAACGAAGGTCTAGGTAGCGTAATTGGCAATGCATCTGCATGATAAGCAGGAGTTGTGGGTTTGAATCCTGCTTCTTCAGATCAATTCTTTTCTTCCGGTAATTCTAAAATTATTATTTAAATTATTTAATTAATTTATAATTATTAAATCTATCAAGAGAAGGCGCCTAATGCCTAACTCTAATGCCAAATTATCTATTAAATTATTAGTATTATAGCTGTTTCTAGTTCGATAATATTCGGCTTTGGTTGATGTATAGCTTTAAATGTATCGGGTATAGTAAGGATGTTTGCTTATTTAAAATTAGTAACACCAGGTATAATAATTACTGCAATGGATATTTTATAAACCTATCACTTAAAAATAACCTTAACACTTTATTATCACATAAAAGCAATTATTATCTAAAGCCCTTAAAAGCAATTTAAACAAGTCTTATGTGAAGTCTTTCAGATGTTAAGGTTAGCCACTTCAATTACATGCAGGACCATCACAACTTATCCAACATAGATCACTTTCAAATACAGTAGTGTCATTTATCCAAATCAATTAGGGACTGGGGTTGTTCAGATAATCGATTATGTATGAAAAAATATATTAACCTATCCCGTGTTGAAATTTTTCTCCGTTGCATGTTGCTTTGCGTTGAATTTTCATCAATGTTAAGCCTAACGTAAATTTTTATAATAATAATCGTGGCTATTGTATCGTTAAAAAATTATTTCTTTATTTTGTACAAAGAAAATAAATATATTGAAAAATATAAAAACAAAAAAGTTATACTTTAGAAGTTAATCTAGTATCAAAAATGTTCGATTCAGCATGACACATAAAGTCCTCAGAAAAACACCACACAAAAATGTCAGTGCTGCCAGCTAAAACACACACACACCAACAAAAAAATATTGGAGTAGCTCAAAGATATAGACAAAGGTTGCAGCACCACAGCACTACCAGAAATTTAAATTTGCCGACTGGAATGCTTTCAGTTGATTGGCTTTCAGATAAACAATGCTCTACTGTATTAATAGTAGACCAGTATTAATTGGTAGTCATTGACTATCCTCTCTCTTAGGAGGAGGTTGAAGTTGAACAGTCTGTTCTTTCTATGGGTGAGTGATATGGTTGCATTCAAATAGGAAAATTACATAATACAAAGTTACTGATGATTATAAAATATGTTTTAAGAGGTTTTCAAGAGAGCTGAGTTTAAATATTTTGTCCATTTTTCACAAACTAATTAATTTGCAGATTACCATTTGATATTTGTGAATGATGCAGTATGAAGAATTAATATTAGAAAAAAATATTATATCTGAAAAAATTTAATATGTCATACTTTCAGTTCCTGTCTACTTGACTAATGAAATTGTGCTGTTTCTGTATCATCTGAGTATTGCAATATGACAGTGGTAGGCTGAAATAAACTCTTTATACGGTTTTCATTTTAATGTTGTTTTTATTTATTGCCTATGCAACACCAGGCTTTATCTGCTAGTTTATTTGTATACACAGTGATAACTAATTATAGTTTTAGTCCTGACACTATAATTTTTTTCATTTCCAACATTGTTGATTGAGATCATGCACAAAGGAAGAGGTCATTGTGACTTTTAGGAAAACAGTATAGATTTCTCTAAACAATAAAGTTATTGAAGCAAATGAGAAAGAGAATATAAGTATGAAGCAAATTGTGGACAGATTTAAGATTTGATAAGACAGCAAGTATATGAAATTTTGAAAACTGTCAGATATCAAACAGGAATGACTGAGTGGCAATAGGTCAGTGAAGAAGAAAGTAAGGAAGTCTGGTAACAAAGACAATTTTTTGAGACTGGTTTATCAATGTGAAGGCAAAGTACATTTTGTATCTGGACCAATTTTACAAGAAAAAACAGAGGAAGTTACTGAGAAGTTAGATAAGAGTAGTTTTAAAGCTTCCAATGCATGGTTGGAAAGTTTTTGGCAATGGCATTCATTCTTCTTCAAGACTGTGGAGAACCTGGAAATGTCAATGAAGAAACTGTGGTAGAATGGAATGAGAAGTGTGTATATGTGAAGGGATACAAATCCAAAGATGTTGTAAATGACGATGAAACAGATTTATTTTTTCAGGCATTACTGAACAAAACACTGTTCATAAAAGGTTATAAATGTTCAGAGGGACAATATCTTGCCATGTTTGTGTGCAGGTTTATGACAGGAGTATAATTGGCAACTTGATGTTCCAAAAAAGCAACAGCTGAACTTGCCTGTTTGTATCTATTTTAGATGTAGTGATGTGGATCACAGAAACATAAAATATGTATTCTGAGAAACAGTGCAGTCATGCTTCAGAAAGACTAACTTTTAAATGAACAATGATTAAGATCATTTGGGAAAAATGATAAAACTTTCCAAGAAGCACTTAAGCAAGCTTTGGCAGCATCTATGTGGATGATTGTTAACAATGACAATGCAACTGAAGTAGACAGTTTGTTCAGGACAACCAATGTAAGTCAACAGAAAGTGATGATGCAGCTGATAGGATTTAGATTATGAACCAAATATGAAAATGTATTAGGAAGCAGGTTAAACATCTTAAAAGACCTGCAAAATAGTTTGAATAGTTTGAGTGAAGTTTGCTTCAAGTGATAGCAGTACACAGATGATAGCAGAAGGTAATTCATACAAGTTAACCAGATGCAAACAAACAGTTTATTTGACTTCTGGAAAAAGTTAAATTTTATTCTGTCTCAATCACCAGAAATGTTTTATTTGTGTTTTTTGTGATTGTGTAGGCTGACTATGTAGAGAAATAAAGTACAAATTATAGGAAATGATGCACACAGCAGAATTCAGTTTTATTATTTTCACACTTTGAATGACCATTGGCATTCATCAATTTGTCAAAATACAGTACTGTCTTACTGTTTGTTGCCACTACACCAATGGATAATGAGCAGTTATTTATTGTGACATTGTTGCAATGCTGGGCTGCAATTTTTAATTTATTTAATTTAATTAAAATATATCCTTTTCACCTGAAATTAGTAGTCTTGCCCCTGAACATCAAATTTTCTGTTTAGCAATGGAGTCATGTCGGACATCTATCTAACTCCTTTCAAGAGAATATTTTTTAATTGAAGTAACGTGACTTCTGGTTTGCATCAGAAGTTTGTATATAGTTAATTGGAGTCTCCTGCTCCAAAGCTTTCTATATCTTTGTCTTGACTTTCGTGTATCTAACTGTTCTCAAGATTAAGGAAGCATGAACGGATGACAGTTGAAATTTATAAGTCTACAAGTTTTTCAAATTTCAGCCCAGTAAATGACTACAGAAAACATTTCCTGAAACGATTTCTGTACTGTACATACAAGGTAAACCCCATTTATACTGGAAACTTGCTCATTACAGAAAAATTTCATAATACCATCCAATTACATTATAGGCAGGTTTGACTATATCTTATAACATAAATACAATGAATACATAAGTCTACAATTCTCAATTAGTGATCATTGTAGTTGATTTTTTTTAAATATCATATCTATCAACACTATAAATTTCATTATTTGGTAAGAATAAGATATTACTTTTATTAGTAACTGTCATAAAGGATTGTCTTTAGGATAAAGTTCATTTTGACTAGAATTACGAGAGCATAGAATTTGCTTGTCAAAGTATAAATTTTAAGTTATTCAACTATCAAATTACATTCCGAAACCAAGATCATTTAAATTGTAGTGCATCAAAAGTAATTCAAAAGTCAAACTACTTAATTATTTTTGAGTGCTTGACAGATTGTTATTTTAAATTAAATGTAGAAAGTAATAAATATTTCCTTATAATGGATTATTGTATGAATTTAGTGCCTGCGTCGAGTGAAGAAAGAGGCGAAGTGTTGGGTGGCGAGAGATTGATCTTTTCTCCCAAAGACATGATCAGCATATCAATGGAATATTGTCCTATGTAAGTTAACTATTTATATCAATGTTTCTATTTTTGTTCATAAATTAAAGAATTTTTACAGGATGTTTTATTTGTTTTAAGAATAAAATTTAAATGCTACATAAATAATATTTTACTCGGATATATTTGGTAATAAGTTTTGGCATCACATTCAAACAGAAAAACGTAATTGCATATAAAATTGAATTATAAGCTTTTTTTAATTTGTAATTAAGTACTTTTGTATTTTTCTATACACTTTCCTTGTATATCATTAGTTTTTCTTAATTTATTACTATTGTTTTATTAAATATAATTACTACTATAGCCATTATAAATAATTTTGTTTCCTATTGTAAAAATTTATTAGCTTAAAAATATATTTATCTTTTGCAGAGGTGTGCTATTTCCTCATTTGCAGGGGAATCAAATTTCTAACATTAGTAGCTCACAGGTAAGAATAAGAAAATATGTTTTTTTCAGTAAGTTCATTCTATTTATTTGAAAATAAAATTTAGGAAAAATATTTTTTATTACTTTGTCAATTATTTATTAACACTGTTTAACAAAAATAAAAAATGAAATCCAATTGAAATAGCTTCTTTTAATGTGAAAATCAAGAAAAACTTCAGATTATAAGTTCATTCTGAGAAATAATTTATATATTTTTTGGTCTATAACTCTTGAGGAAAGATGTTTAATTTGTAACCACCGAAATTTTTATATTTTAGAAGTTTTCACTCCAGCGAAAGTAATTTAAATTTAATTTTGTATAGAGTTTCCTTAAGTATGTTTAGAAAAATAGCATTTTATATTTAATTTTTTAAATGCTTTGTTTAAATTTCCCAATGAGAATTTTCGTAATTGACTTCCAAAAGAATTCAATTGTGGATGTATTAAAAATTATATTTGAAAGTTTAGTTCCTAACAACTTTTTAAAACTTGCAAAATTTTGTGTAAAAATTTCTGAAAATTTTTCTATAAATTTTTTTAATCATTGTTATATTCTTACATTTGAGAACTTATGATTTTGATGAAAATTTATGTTGAATATTTTTGTTTGGTTAATTTAATTTTTGCTTCTATGCATTTGTAGCTACAACTATTTTCAGATGACCAAGACAAAACTTTTCTCACTAGTTTCTAGCCATTTATACACGAGTATGGTTTTGAGAAAGTTCTGTCTTTATCATCTTAATTTTTGCATTTGACAAAGTCAATTTGAACTTTTTCTGTTTCATGTACTTGTTTACTGACTATAAATCTGTTTTGCAAAATCTTTACTTAAGTAATATTCTTAATAGAATTTAATAATACTGTAATAATGTTTTTAAACTTTGTAAAGTTGTATCTTTTTTCAGTTACTCAAAGTGACAATCAGTCATTTGGTAGTTCTTTCTATATACACTAAAATTTCAATTATCCATGGTCCACATTATCTGAAGCAAACTTGTAAATAAATACTTTACTTTTCTTATACTGGGAATCATAAAAGCATTACTGTGAATGCACTAAGCACATAAGCACTGTAGTACTTTTAACTTTGACTGTTTAACCAATTGAATGGTCAATACAGAGGTGACGGCAATTGCGGAAAAGAAGGGAAAAACCATTATAAAACTAAACACTCAGACTTCTTAAAGAAAGTTTAAAGTAATAATGTATATTACAAACTGATTGGTTTATTTACCTTATACGATTTAACTTCGATATGAGACAAACTAGTCATTTCAACTATAATAATATGCATGTTATTCTTTAAACTATTGTACAAATTAGTTGCATAATAAATGTGAAAAATGTTGTTGATATATATGATTACATTCACTAAGGTATAAAAAAAAGGCTTTAAAAAGTGATAGCATATGAATCCTTTATAATTTTTAATCCAGAATGGCCTTGTTATCACACTATCCAAGGTAGCATTGGTCCACCTTAATTCTAATAATTGGGATAATACCATACTATGTTATATAAAGCCACTGTTGATGGTACAAGCAATTAATGTTAAATGTATTAGTTTTGATTTTATTTTTAAGACCATAAGTATTGTCTTAGTGTGATTATGAATACACTTTTAGCTACTCTGATTATAAAATGGCAACAAGTGAAATCAAACTGTGTCTCCATCCATCCATTTACAATACAAAAAATTTTGAAGCAGTTACTGGCAATTCAAAAATAGGTAAGTTCAAAAGAAACAGATAACTTGTATCTCAAGAAACAGCTTATGAACTGCTTGAGAATGCTTTCAGGGACACAAACTTTAATGATTACTGAGAAGAGAGGGAAACTTTCCAAAGAAACTGAACACTCTAAACTTAACATTTTGTTGTAGATGGCTTTGTAGTTTTAAGCAATGTCAAATTAGCATCTAATTTTAATTGTGTTAATCATGAGGAAATACAAAACTTAATTGAAGAAACTCAAGTTACAGTCTAAGAATATTAATATTTGTTTTAGCTTTCATTGCTCTAAATCATACTGTACAGTATTTTCAGCTACAGGGGTCCAAAAAGTTGCTGTGCAGTGAGAAATTTGCAATGACATTAAAGTTATGCCTATGAGATCTGTAAGTTGTTCATTTGGCAACAGTTGACCAGTTATATGTATGGTATTGCATACAACTTCAGGTTTTATATATGCAATATCATGCCTATAACTTCAATGTCACTCCAAATTTCATACTGCACAGCAACTTCTCAGATACCCTGTATAAATCGAAAGATTATAAGAAGTGTCATATTTACTATAATCCTTTTATCATAAAATCAAAAACAATTCAAAATAATTGCATTCTCTCTCTAAAGCAAACATCTATAATAAGTTTTAATTTGCTTTTGTTAAATTTAGTTTTATATAATTTAATATTTTCCTAATTTTGTTATAATTACAGTAGAGTGTCGTTTATCCGAATCATTTGGGGACTGTGTTGTTCGGATAACCGATTATGTACCAAAAAATATATTAACCTATCCCATGTTAAAATTTTGCGTGTCGCTTCGTGTTGAATTTCCATCAATGTTAAACCTAACATAAACTTAAAATAATAATTGTAGCTATTGTATTATTAAAAATTATTTCTTTATTTTGTACAAACAAAATAAATGTATTGAAAAATATGGGGGAAAAAATTATATTTTGGAAGTTAATCTAGTATCAAAAACGTTCGATTCAGCATGACACAGTCCGAATGGAATGCTTTCAGTTAACCGACGTTTCGGTTGATCGGCTTTCGGATAAACAACGCTCTACTGTATTACTGAACTGTATTTGAATTTAAAACTCACGATTTTCAGTTGTCTTTGCAATGTCTCTGTTTATGAAATCACACGCTAAAGATACGACTGTAGGATTGAAAATTTTTAATTGGTCTGACTGTATTTTTGAATATTTTAGTATTTAATTACATAAATCATAAAACTTTAGCTGCTGAAAATAGTTAAATTATATAATTTTGTATATTTGAAAATTAAGAATGTATTAGCAAAAAATTTTTAAAGTATGTAAAATTAAAATCTATTGTTTTCATTACTAAAATTGTGATAAAAATTAACTGTTGATATTGAAAATTGTGTGTATTTTAAAGAAATTGGCAAGTCGTACCAGGCTGGATTTCAGCTTCTACAATCTTGCTGTCTTGCATCATTGGTCAGACAAAAATATGAACAATGGCAAAGGAGTGTTACTCATTTATTACACATTTTTTTTTTTTTATATTAATAGTCATATAATGATTTTTACAGGAAAATAAATGCATTATTTTCCTGTGTTCTTAATAATAGCTTAATGTTTAAAAATACTTTAACTAAGGTAGTTTAGATGAATGATATCTTACTTTGGCTACAAAGATTATTTTTGTTTCAGTATTTGCAAAATAAAATTACTTAATAATAAATAATAACACTTTTTGATATTGGAAACAGTGATAAGCTATTAATATACTTTTATGTATTTTTTGTTTTACCATTATTTGAATTCTGACGTTTTATGTTTCGTCATGTTTGTAGAGTCATCGTCGATACCTTTATTGTCCCGGCGCATTAACTATAGCCCACTTGAAAAAATTGATTCATGCCAAATATAATCTCCTCCCCAAACAGCAGGTATCGAGTTGTATTAATTATTCTAAGTTATTTAAAATTTAAATAAAATTGTAATTTAATTAAGAAATAATTGTATTTTTTTTTTAATATTTAGGTTGATATACTATACATGCACGACTACCTCTTTGATGAATATACCATGATGGATTTAGCATACATATATTCTTGGAGAAGGGTAATGAATTTATTGTTGATTGTAAAATTACTGGATAAAAACTAAAAACACTATAAACTTTTAAACCTTAATGCAAATTCTTTTAAAAATTATCTAACTTTTTGATTTATTAGTATTATTTTCATTTTTATATTATTCTGCTGTCTTTGCCTGAATTTTTAAATGTTAAAAATGTTTATTCCAAATACATTTGAATGATATGATATTGATTTTTGGAGTCATTTTTAATTGACAGTTTTTTATCTTTAAGGATTAAGCAGTTTTGCTTGCTTCAAATTCATTGAGCTCTCTCTCTCTCTACCTCTGTTTCTCATGGATTTACATTGAAAACATAATCAAAAGTTGCACTTCTAAGTTTAAGTTACTTTCTTTTATAATGTATAATGTTTAAATAAATTAGTATTTAATTATTATTCATTGCTTGTCATATGAGTATGAAGTAATTAGTTCTGATAAAATTTTAAAATGTATAGATTTTCTAATTTTGTTGTGTTGCTTAGCAAAGTGTAAATGGCAGTATGGAACATATAGAAGATTCTCTTTTACTTGTAAATTTAGTGTAATACTTATGAGAGAATTTATAAATGACACTGCCACACTGTTATGCCTGTCTTGATAGGAGGACAAAATAATAGATTGCCGAGTCAAATTTATTTGTTCTGATCTTTAATCTCGTTAGGAAGCTTTTGGTTATCCTCATAACTGACAATAACCAATTACCCAAATAAAATAGAGTCCTAATGAAAGTTAAGTAATTGATGAATGATAGAGAACCTATTGCCTGAAAAATATGGCATATTTTCTTTATTATTGCTATTCAACACAGCTTATGTAAGATCTACTTTGAAGAATTGTTGCCTGTATGTTATGTAATACATTTGTTAACAAATCTACTAAGCAGTAAAATAATAATAGATGTTTATATTGCAGAACGAACCAATTCGACTCTTCTACAAGATATATAACAAACCAACCGACAAAGACACTTTAAGGGAAAGCAACGATAACACTTGCAAAGGCATAGAAAAGCAGCGGGTGAATGACAGTCATCTGATTCTCAATGGCAACGACCGGACGCATCAGAACACGCCGAATTCCAAGCCGGTTCCAATCCACGGCGTAGACAAGAAAGAGGTGAGGGATGCAATCTGGAACTACATGAAACCCTCAAACCAGACAGAGTGCGATCTGAAATGCATCGATCAAACTTTTGACAAAGACGGTTTTGTGGACACCAACGGCAAGATTCTAAACGAACTAGAAAACTGCATCACAAACAAGGTTTTCTGAGATGGTCCTACTATATATAAACATTTTAACAGTGTGTATAGCTTACATTAAATGTATAATCTGTTCAGATAGTTCTATAAGAGAAAAATAATTATTTTTACTATATATATATATTATACATAAAGATTAGATGATAGATGTAAGATAGATTGTATTTTTGTAATATGAATCTTTTCTAACCTCACTTATTTATTGAAGAACATCTTTCATCCTATTGTTTTGTTTGTAAAGCATTCAGACAAACTTTTTCGTCCAATTGTAAATAGAATCGTAGTTGCAAATCGTTGTCACAAATGTAAAAATCATGACATCCACATCATTATACACCGGGCAGGACACGTTATCGTCGGTGGACGAAAGATAGGGTTGTGCACCAACGTGGCAAGAGTCGATTTTTTATATATATGTATTATATATATAAAAGTTGTTAAAGTACGAAATTATTTTCTTACACAAAAAAATAAACGAATTAATAAAATATTCGTTCTGTTTTAACTTTCTTNGGCTCACGTATTTGTAAAATCTAAGTGACTCGTACAACATGGTATTCATATAAAACGGAAAAATCAACAGTGTTATAGGGGGGATCAACTTGTAATCACGGTATTTCGTAGGTCAATTTTAAATTCGAAATTGACATTGTACAAAGTATTAATTTTCCCAAATTCTTTTGTTTTCTGTGTTTTACAATATTACATCCTCGTTGTGTTTTCTTTTTTTTAATTTATAAAAATTACTTTCGTCCTTGTAGCAAGTAAAGGTATTTTCTTTCTTTCTTTCTTTTTTAATATTCAAGGTAGTTTATTTATTTATTTATTTTTAAATAAAGATACAATCAATTTTGATTGTAAAACAAGTTTTTCTAAATTTTTGGTGAGTTAGTGTCGAGTTGTATAGAAGTAATCGAGGTAATTTAATTATATAGCCGAATTAAATCACTTTAAAGTGTTATAAAGAGAGAAATGATGCCGTTTTTTAAAGTTAAAATGTGCAGTTTAAGTGATAAGGAAACAGCTGAACAATTGTAGAAGCTTAATGATTGTCTTTCTCCTCTTTAAGAGCGGGAGGAGGATCAAATTTAGTGTCATTTAACGATAAAATTCAGTGTTGCTATGTGTAAAAACAAGAGACTACACGAGGATTTAGATTTAGAGGGCCTATAAACAACAAAAGTAGTAATATTTAATAATAGTAAAAACTGGGGAAGAAAGGGTCCGAATTTACTATTATGCCTAAAATTGGGTCTCGAGCAGTTTAGTTAGGTACTCGAGTCGAACTGATGAGTTTCCTACTCTCAAAATATCACATGTATCTCGTGACCGCATCGATTAGAGTATTTTAGAATCGCTTTACTATACCCTGCAGTTAATAGGCTACATTTGTGTTTTAGTATGTTTTCCCCCTTTAATCTTTCGTACCAGGTAAAAATTGCCCCATTAAATTATTCCGAAAAAATGTATAGATTTTCTAGCGCAGGATGCTTTATAATTGCTTGGTAACTGTAACTTTTAATGCTATATCCTGTTGATAAAAATGCACCAACAGATCAAATTCGTACAGTTTTACACGTACTGCACTCCTATAAGAAGTTTATTTCGCCTAATTATATATATATTGTAGAGAAAATAACATAGGATGGTGAAACGTCCCTCATTTCTTTTACCCACGTGACAAGTTAGAGAATTAGCGTATGTCCTTCGATCGACTTGTCCCTTTGAATACTAAAAACACCGAAACTTCATATTTTACTGATAACATCGATAAGGAAAATGTCGTTTAGAATTATCGTTAATAAATCGTAACAAGTTTTACCCAAATTTAACCTTTAAAATTACATTTTTTTTAAAAGATTAAGGCCCCCTTTACGAATAGGAAGGACACTTTAATAACTAAATACAGTATAAATGTACAGTGTCAATTTTATGCCTGGCNCATTGCTTGTCATATGAGTATGAAGTAATTAGTTCTGATAAAATTTTAAAATGTATAGATTTTCTAATTTTGTTGTGTTGCTTAGCAAAGTGTAAATGGCAGTATGGAACATATAGAAGATTCTCTTTTACTTGTAAATTTAGTGTAATACTTATGAGAGAATTTATAAATGACACTGCCACACTGTTATGCCTGTCTTGATAGGAGGACAAAATAATAGATTGCCGAGTCAAATTTATTTGTTCTGATCTTTAATCTCGTTAGGAAGCTTTTGGTTATCCTCATAACTGACAATAACCAATTACCCAAATAAAATAGAGTCCTAATGAAAGTTAAGTAATTGATGAATGATAGAGAACCTATTGCCTGAAAAATATGGCATATTTTCTTTATTATTGCTATTCAACACAGCTTATGTAAGATCTACTTTGAAGAATTGTTGCCTGTATGTTATGTAATACATTTGTTAACAAATCTACTAAGCAGTAAAATAATAATAGATGTTTATATTGCAGAACGAACCAATTCGACTCTTCTACAAGATATATAACAAACCAACCGACAAAGACACTTTAAGGGAAAGCAACGATAACACTTGCAAAGGCATAGAAAAGCAGCGGGTGAATGACAGTCATCTGATTCTCAATGGCAACGACCGGACGCATCAGAACACGCCGAATTCCAAGCCGGTTCCAATCCACGGCGTAGACAAGAAAGAGGTGAGGGATGCAATCTGGAACTACATGAAACCCTCAAACCAGACAGAGTGCGATCTGAAATGCATCGATCAAACTTTTGACAAAGACGGTTTTGTGGACACCAACGGCAAGATTCTAAACGAACTAGAAAACTGCATCACAAACAAGGTTTTCTGAGATGGTCCTACTATATATAAACATTTTAACAGTGTGTATAGCTTACATTAAATGTATAATCTGTTCAGATAGTTCTATAAGAGAAAAATAATTATTTTTACTATATATATATATTATACATAAAGATTAGATGATAGATGTAAGATAGATTGTATTTTTGTAATATGAATCTTTTCTAACCTCACTTATTTATTGAAGAACATCTTTCATCCTATTGTTTTGTTTGTAAAGCATTCAGACAAACTTTTTCGTCCAATTGTAAATAGAATCGTAGTTGCAAATCGTTGTCACAAATGTAAAAATCATGACATCCACATCATTATACACCGGGCAGGACACGTTATCGTCGGTGGACGAAAGATAGGGTTGTGCACCAACGTGGCAAGAGTCGATTTTTTATATATATGTATTATATATATAAAAGTTGTTAAAGTACGAAATTATTTTCTTACACAAAAAAATAAACGAATTAATAAAATATTCGTTCTGTTTTAACTTTCTTGTGTAATGTTTCAATTCTGAAAATAATGTAATTTCTAATGGCTTACACAATTCTGAATTGCAAAGATATATTTTCGATATCAAATTTGAGGCATTTTAACAGCCAAGAATTCTGCTTAAAAACTGAATATCCAAGATGTTTACTCAGATCAAAGCACTATCAATATATATATTGTAGGAAACACTCTTTAATTCATGTAACATTAATCTATTTCATCTCAGTTTCTGTCACTTTTTATAACATTCAAAATAAATTTTAGCATTATTTAGATTTGAATGTTACATATAAGCTCTGAGCCCAGTTACTTTGTAGTAAATATAGAGTAATTTAAGCGAACCTTTGCTGGTCACTTGTGGCACTCGCGGGTATTTAGTGTCTTATGTGTGTTCCTACTTAACAGCAAATACACACGTGCCCGGTGTTCTACTTCTGAAAATTTAACAAGTGGTATAATAGCACACTTTAATTGATCGATAACAGCAGAACGAAGATGAAAGAAAATCAACCATTGTGTGATTATTACCATTTTGATAATACCAAGCAAGCAATGTCTATATCAAAACCCTTTACTAGACGATTGATACACAACCTCTCCACAGAAAAATGCATATTACATTAACACGAATATATTTACCCTACTCACACCGTAATGCCAGTCCATTCAAAATTGTATCATACAAAATAACAGTGAAGTTTACAAAACTACTGTTTTTTTCAACGTTTTTAAGGGGTCGAAAATTAACTGTATTCTGCTTTTTAAGCTGGAAAATTGAAAAAGGTATCCTATATCTGGTCTCTGATTAGTTGATTCTAGTTTACTGATTCAAAGTATGAAGTTAATAACTTTGGCATTACAGGTAAGCCAGTGTAATTTTTACTTAGAAATCTTCCAGCTTCCTTTGATAGAATCCTATTGAGTTCAGACAAAGTGCATTTTGTTACTTTGTTCTCAGATCTTTCTGTATAATATGTGTTACTGAAAATACAGGCGGATCTATTTCCATAAAAGAGTAATTTGAATCATTATAGACAGTGTTAATTGTTTTGTAAATTCAAACAATAGCCCAAACGTTTCGAAAATGTTTAATATAAAGTCATCTTTTCATATACAAAAGTTTTGTAGGTATAATATAGATCCCGGTATATAAAATGAGTAACTACGAATAACTCTTTATAAACAAGGTTATTGTAAACGTATACAAGTAAATATGGAAAGAATTTTTAAACCATCCTAGTATCGTTGCATTTCGGATAATTTTCGGCGAAGATAAATGGATAATATCCAAATTCTTGGTTATTCTGTTAAAAAAATACAAGAAATCAATTACTAGTTTCAATCGATTTGCATAAAATCACCTTATATTAGGTATTTTCCTCGAAAATTGTCTTTGGCACACCACTTGCACGCGATAATTATCGATTGTTTCATTCTGTATGCAAAATTAAAATTGCCTTATCGATACCAATCTTGTTATTGATTGTTACTGACGTCACTTTCAAGGTAAAGTTGGCACCTGTTGTGTTTCCTAGCTATAAGAATATACTACTACTACTAATAATAATAATCTATGTGTTGTGATGGTAACCATACTACCACTTAAATGCCTAATTTTGGGTCCCGACTTACCGTTCCTCCTAAGTGGGGTGGCAATCTATCTTCCTCTATGTATTCTCCTATTGTTTTATTATCTACAAACTTCACCTTCTCGACAGCTGCGGGTGGTAACAAGTACTTGGCTATCTTCCATGTAGCTGTAAATCATACGGTTACGGGTGTTATTATACAATAATTAATGTGACCACAATACTAGAAATTCTACTTACCTACCAAAATGCTCGGCAGATTAGCCACAATGATATGTCCTTCAAATAAATTTACATAAATATACTATCTACAGTTACATAATGGGCTAATATAAGGTTAATTCATTTTTTTTATGTGAAAAACACTTCACATTGAATATTCCTCAAGGGGTGAAATTACGAAATGATACTCACCTACAATGGCCAAGTAATGCTCTTTCACCATGTTAATCAAGAGAGTCAACAAGTCCATATTCTAAATATAAACGAAACATCACTTATGAAGACTCGTAACGAGAAAAGCACACGTGTATTTGTTACGCGACGTAACAGCAATATACAGTCGACCCCCCTATAACACTGTTAATTTTTCCGTTTTATATGAATTCCATGTTGTACGAGTCACTTAGATTTTACAAATACGTGTGCCGGGCTGTGAACAGCTCACGTATTTGTGAGCTGTTCACAGCCCAACAACAGTGTTTTAGGGGGGGTCGACTTGTAAATTAAAACACGAAGAATGACTTACAGCGTTACTAAGCCCAGCTCCCGTGCAATCTATTATAATGGTGAACATCTCTCCGGGATTGATGCTTTCTACGCTTTCTATCCAGTAAGTGACGAATCGTTCCAAGTCCTGCTTCTCCGCCGAACTCGTTCTTCTCACCTTTTTTGCTCTCAGAAACACTACCAGAAAGCAAACACTTCCCTTAATTTCAATGGAGCATGAAAGGGAAGCTGAAAATGTTATCAAATTTCTCTTGCAACAGGTAATAATTTCTAAACTATTCTTTAGAAAATATATTTTGGCCCACTTGTATATTCTAAATAACCAAATAATCTTAGGGAGAATAGGAACATTTCATGCGTAACACAGGAAATGGGGAGAGGTAATGTTAAACAACCCAACAGACAATTGACTTCACTGGTAACTCAAGTAACGAGCCGTTAAATTCGCTAATTAGTTATACCTCATTATATAAATCGGGTGTTACTAACAGACGAGAGCAAGTGTTACACTAAATTAAGGGAAGTATGGACATTTTCTCACCCGTGCAGCATCCATTTTTGTCTCTGTTGTAAGGGACGATAACTTGGCGATCGAAGAACTCGGTTGGCAACTCGTCCCTTTTAATTTCTGCAGATGAAACAATAAGTTAAACACACTTACTTTCCATTAGAAAAAAAATGGGCGTTAAATACCTCTGATGGAATGCTCCTTCCTCCATTTTAATTCCTTTTTGGCCATAGCGATGCCATTTTTCAGCCTGTCCTCATTAGGATGTAACAGTGCTTGGTGGACGATGAATCTCTTGACAAATTCGTCGTCATCTTTCAATCTCTTAATATCTTCCGCATAATAGGATTCTAAGAACGGTAAAAACACTAGAAATTAAAATTTACATTTAAAAAAGAATTTAAACTAAAAGCTGTTCCGTATCGTAGCTAGTCGCCATCTTTACTCGCTTTACTCTATAACAAAATGGCAGCTCGTACCGATACAGACACGTTATTTATATTTGATACTTTTTTAATTAAAAAATAAATTTACGGGAGATTTACTTAATTTTCTAACAAAATATATCCAGGTACAGAAGAGTACACAATCGATTTTATCTCGACAAAAGCATTTTAAAACAATCTATTGTGTTATATCCGCCACACGAAAACCTTCCACGCTCGAAAGGAATGCAAGTTTATAAATTTATAAATAATGAAATTTAATGCTAGAAAATAGCGTAACGATCGAAATCGATAGTAATCTTTCGTGTTCTAGAAATAAAACAATTTTATTCTTAATCTCCCGTACAATTCGATACGATTCATCGAGTTAAACACTAAAACCTCTCGTGACGTTTGCGGTCTAGAAAGCTAACCACGTGACTCACTTTTCCGGCCGCCAGTATCACGAGATGTAATTATGACGTCACCTACACTGGACGTTTTTATACGAAATTTTTAAGACATAACTCGGCGAAGGTCGACTGGTCTTCTAAAACTCGATCCTGTTTGATCAATTCTCTAAAACACCGCTGCAACACACTGTATTGTTTTCTTTATTGTTAATTAAATAATAAACGTTGGGCTATTTCTGTGTTCTCGCGTATATTACACAGGAGTTGTTTATAAAGACTGTTGCGAGTCTGTAGAGCGTAAATTGATATACGCCCTTTAGATAGGGGGTTTAGAATTACAGATATGTAATAAAACACTACAGTATCTAGTATACGAGAGTAAAAAATACTAGAAAAACGCCCAAATGTGACATAAATTTACTTTTAAACCATTAAATAACAGTTTTATAAATTTACTTTCATCTCCCCACGCGTCACAGAAGTCAAATTACTGTGTTTCCCTTTCAATTGAACGAAAGTAATCATCATTGGCGAGGGGTGAAAGTTATTTCGTTTAAAACGGGTTCATTCTATCCATTCGTTACTTAAATTGCTATATTTTTTGTGTCTAAAAATAGCCCCATTCTAGTATCATAATATGTTTATTACTCAACAAAGGAGCGTAACAAAGAACTCAATTCTGCTATAGACAATGCCTTTACGCTGTTCTGTTCTAATAAAGAACGGAAGAAAGGAAAGGAAAATATTTACTCCTACGCTTTAAACACTACTCACCGGGGGATTTTTCGATTTCTTCTAACACTTGCTTCCTTAATTCTTCGACGGTATGTCTATCGGGTGGAGGAATCTTGGAGTTAGTAAGCTCGGGCATGTTGCTGTACAGCTGTTATCCCTCCTCTGAAGCGTGCAACTTTAATAATTTCCACGATGTGTTTACGTCACGACATTCAAATCTCCTTCCTCTCCACTCAGCTGCTACGAGTAACACCTTCCTTTGCGTAACACGTCGATCGTCGTCTCACTCTTCGATTGGTTATCCAAAGGAAATGCTCACTTACAGTCTATAACACATATTAACTGTTAAAGATATTATTGGAAACGAAGGACGATCGTTATAAACGTGATTTACTGTCGATTTTTACCTGGTCTTTTTCGATTTATCGACATTGTGTCAATCTGCACGCGGCTGTCTTACGACGTTAATTGATACACGTGACTCAGAGTTTTGTTGGCTGTATCGACACAAAATGTACACTAAATTTATACTTGTGTTAATCTTATAAAGTAGTTCTGTTCGGTTTCAGTTGTGAAAGTACAAGTCGACCCCCCTATAACGCTGTTGATAATTCCGTTTTATATGAATTCCATGTTGTATGAGTCACTTAAATTTTACAAATACGTATGCCGGGCTGTGAATGGCTCACGTATTTGTAAAATCTAAGTGACTCGTACAACATGGTATTCATATAAAACGGAAAAATCAACAGTGTTATAGGGGGGATCAACTTGTAATCACGGTATTTCGTAGGTCAATTTTAAATTCGAAATTGACATTGTACAAAGTATTAATTTTCCCAAATTCTTTTGTTTTCTGTGTTTTACAATATTACATCCTCTTTGTGTTTTCTTTTTTTTAATTTATAAAAATTCTTTCGTCCTTGTAGCAAGTAAAGGTATTTTCTTTCTTTCTTTCTTTTTTAATATTCAAGGTAGTTTATTTATTTATTTATTTTTAAATAAAGATACAATCAATTTTGATTGTAAAACAAGTTTTTCTAAATTTTTGGTGAGTTAGTGTCGAGTTGTATAGAAGTAATCGAGGTAATTTAATTATATAGCCGAATTAAATCACTTTAAAGTGTTATAAAGAGAGAAATGATGCCGTTTTTTAAAGTTAAAATGTGCAGTTTAAGTGATTAGGAAACAGCAGAACAATTGTAGAAGCTTAATGATTGTCTTTCTCCTCTTTAAGAGCGGGAGGAGGATCAAATTTAGTGTCATTTAACGATAAAATTCAGTGTTGCTATGTGTAAAAACAAGAGACTACACGAGGATTTAGATTTAGAGGGCCTATAAACAACAAAAGTAGTAATATTTAATAATAGTAAAAACTGGGGAAGAAAGGGTCCGAATTTACTATTATGCCTAAAATTGGGTCTCGAGCAGTTTAGTTAGGTACTCGAGTCGAACTGATGAGTTTCCTACTCTCAAAATATCACATGTATCTCGTGACCGCATCGATTAGAGTATTTTAGAATCGCTTTACTATACCCTGCAGTTAATAGGCTACATTTGTGTTTTAGTATGTTTTCCCCTTTATATTTTTTAATCTTTCGTACCAGGTAAAATAATTCCGAAAAAATGTATAGATTTTCTAGCGCAGGATGCTTTATAATTGCTTGGTAACTGTAACTTTTAATGCTATATCCTGTTGATAAAAATGCACCAACAGATCAAATTCGTACAGTTTTACACGTACTGCATGCCTATCAGAAGTTTATTTCGCCTAATTACGAGAATTAATTATATATATATATATTGTAGAGAAAATAACATAGGATGATGAAACGTCCCTCATTTCTTTTACCCACGTGACAAGTTAGAGAATTAGCGTATGTCCTTCGATCGACTTGTCCCTTTGAATACTAAAAACACCGAAACTTCATATTTTACTGATAACATCGATAAGGAAAATGTCGTTTAGAATTATCGTTAATAAATCGTAACAAGTTTTACCCAAATTTAACCTTTAAAATTACATTTTAAAAAAAAAAAAAAAAAAGATTAAGGCCCCCTTTATAGGAAGGACACTTTAATAATTAAATACAGTATAAATGTACAGTGTCAATTTTATGCCTGGCAAACGAGGCATTCGACTGGATCCTACTGCTACTAAAACCGTCAAAGGTAAGGCCCTAATTCACCAGTTTGTCTAGGCCTTACGTAAAGTTAGCCATAAGCAATCTGTTATATTGTATTTACATTACACAACTGATGTTTGCATCTTGGAAACTGTAGTTTTTGCCTGCAGGAATGAACGTTCTCGGAAAGTAAAAAAAAAAAAAAGAAAGAGAATGTACCATCGTTCTCTGGCCTTATATCCGGGAATTATTGTCAGTGATACGAAGAGGCCAAGGTTATTAACTGTCATTTATGTCACAAAATAAATTAAAGAATTTGCATATGTATAGCTAATGTCTATCCCTAACGCTGTTCGTTGCTGCAAATTGCGATATTATGTTTCTTCGTCTAGTACAAATGATAGAAGTAGAGAAAGTAATTTCGAGTAATGCGACGCGACGCGACGCGCTGACGCATCGCCTCGCGTGGCTTAGTCTTATGTCTCCTGTTGTAAGGTGCGATACTCTTCCAAGGAAACGCAACTTAAAAATGATTTCCGTTTTTTAAGCTCCGAAATTATTCCGTATTACTTCTTAAAATTAATAAAAGTTACTTAGACGTTAAAGTATTTTTTAAATCGATTTACTAGCGAAGAAAAGGTAATTTTTATTAAGTTAAGACAATAGTTGGATAATAATAAAATGTAAAAATAGGTGGCGCGAATGTTAAACAGAGCGCCTCCTAGTGACCCGTTAAGCGGTGGCGCTCGAAGACAATAGCGCCATCTGGTTTATGCGACAAGATCGTACAAGTCAATAAAACTGAGTTTTTTCAACGGTGCGAGGGAATAAATTTAAAATTAATTATAAGTAAACTTGTTATTCGTTTTATAAATAATCGCAAGAATAAACTATATTTTTTGTAATTACTTTCTCTTATAACAGAAAGAAAGTATGTCGATCGGTCAAAAGATGACCTCCCAAGATTTTTGACACAGAGGACCTTTTAAAACGTCGAGAAATACAAAAAGTTGTGAGGGTTTTCNATGTCACCTCCGGAAGCATTTTTCTAAAAACCTAATCAATCTAAACTTAAAGCAACATGGATATATAGGCAATATTTCCTTCTGAACACGGAACCTCCTAGTGACCCATTAAGCGGTGGCGCTCGAAGACAATAGCGCCATCTGATTTATGCGACAAGATCGTACAAGTCAATAAAACTGAGTTTTTTTCAACGGTGCGAGGGAATAAATTTAAAATTAATTATAAATAAACTTCTTATTCGATATGTTCTTTATAGTTTTATAAATAATCGCAAGAATAAACTATATTTTTTGTAATTACTTTCTCTTATAACAGAAAGAAAGTATGTCGATCGGTCAAAAGATGACCTCCCAAGATTTTTGACACAGAGGACCTTTTAAAACGTCGAGAAATACAAAAAGTTGTGAAGGTTTTCTGTATGTATGAATGTTTTTGTGCGTAGGGGACAGGATTTCAACCGCTTCGAGGCTTAATAATTCCTGTGCCCTTTGTCGAAAATTTATGAAACTTTGCAGGGGGGATTGTGTATTACGGAGAAATATTTCTAGACATTTTCAGGAGAATCGGACCATTGATTCCGTGGTTAAATGACCTCCATTTTAAGAGTAATCGTTCATATTAGTAAAATCTGTAAAACTTAATTTAATTTTAATGATAGCAATTATTAAGGATGAAAACAATAAATAATTCGGAAAAGTCCAGTAACAACGTTGCCAGCATTTTTTGCATGATTGAGAAATAAATTATGGAAACCTTTTTTCAATATCAAGGCCACCAGCCTGTTCTGAATAAGAGTAATAATTGTATACAGAGTCAAGAGTTCTACTTTGACTACATAATCAAACATTCTATAGAAGAGGACGAGGGTCGAGATCCCAAAAAATTATAAGTTATATTAAAATATTGACAACCAGAATTTAATAAATGACAAACCAAGGAATATACAAAATGAAAGCACTATTGGAGTGTGCATTTGATCGGGGTCCAGGCTGGCATTTGTATTATAAAATTTTAATTGTAACGTTTAGAAAATCAATTTACATAATGAAGAAAACATAAATATAAAAAATTGAGTTTGTTACGGAATAAGAAAGAAAAGAGACCCCTAGAATCAAGACCAGTGATCGCTGTTCGCGGCCCTAGTTGGATCCTCAAATATTTTCATGAGCTGTTTGACTAGGTATTTCTAGATATATGCCCTCAATCGGCAACTTTTTAACTATTTATCCTTGTTCCATTCTTCTTCCCCCTTCTTAAATATTATGTGTACCAATTTTGGTTACATTTGGGTTGTTCCTTCCAGCTACGGACAGCTCCAAATAGAGGTACTTCTTTTATAATCATTCGGCATTTCATCTTCAACGTACGGCGTGGTAGGTAATACCATTCATTGTGCAAAATAATGGAGACGAATCCCACACTTAACTTCCATGTATGGAAAGATTAGTATGTTGTTCTCGCGAAATTATTTTATTTTTTATTTTTTTTTAAAATTCTGTTATGTATGATGCGACAGATATTTGCCGATGTTTTGCAGTATTATACAGCTGTTGCCGAGTGAAATAAAAAGAGGAGATACAACCTAAATAACAACGAATGGGGTTGACGTATAGAATAGTGCTTGAAGGCGTTATCATTTCTAGATTCTTGTGAAATTATCTCATATAAAACAGTGCTAATTGTGAATGAAAGTGAAATTCTGTTACTGATTAATAAGCTTCCCGTAAGATAAATGCTACACCTGTGATGGAATTCTGTAGTTATGGTGATTTTTAATTTTCCTAGTGGAATTACCCAAGTTCGGGAGTTTTTCTTTATATTTATAGGCAAGATATCCTGCTATATATTCGAAAGCATCGCGAGAAGTTTCTTCGGAGATTGTGTGGATCTCATAACTCTTCGTGTCTTCTATCCATTGAGATTGCCGTTGATGGCTTTGTTCCTCTGGTTCTGAGACATCTTGGATTTGATTACAGTTTGTCTTATGTGACGGTATTACAGCCCGTCGCTCGAGTTATGTTCTAACACGCGATGAGCGGCTGACTTGATTTTTTCAGCTTCTGTAATGTCTTTATTTTCCAATGTTCTTGACCGAGAGTTTTTCCATCCAATAAAGCAGGCCCATTTCTATCTCATCGCCACTTTTGTTTCGTTAGGGAATTTATCATTACAAAGTATTGTTTTGTATAAAACTGAACTTTCTTATTTAGCCTCAAACATGTACACCGAAGAGCCATTACATTATGACTACCTCCCACCTAGACAAAACAGCCGTGCTTGCATGGCTCATACTGCTGTGTGTAAACAGCCAATGAACTGTGTTTCCAAATGTAGAATTTTTGGCTCGTCATGGGAAAAACAGCAGATTTATCAGACTTCGATAAAGGACAAATCGTTATTACCCGGTCCCTGGGAATGTCGATCTCAAAAACAGCTCAACTGATGGGCTATTCACGTGCAGTCGTTGTTAGTATTTACCAAAAGTGGTGTACGGATAGAGAAACGAGAAGTTGATGACCAGCTGTATGCTATCTGCGGCGCATTGATTCCAGAGGGAAGCGAAGACTATTACGCATTGTTCGCCGCGCCAAAAGACTACAGCGGCCCAAATCTCCAGCATATACAACAGTGATGACCAAAACAATGTGTCTCAGCACACAGTGTAGAGTACCCTTCTGCATATAGGCATGCTTAGCTGCCTGCTCAGCCGAGTCCCCGCGCTTACTGCAAGTCATCGACAACAGCGTCTACAAGGGGCCATGGAGCATGGCAATTGGACCTTAGAAGAATGGAAGAAAGTCGTCTGGTTCGAAGAGTCACGTTTTCTGGTCCATCACGTTGACGGTCGAGTGTGATTTCCAAAGGAGATCATGACAGCCAGATGCACAGTTGAATGAAAACAAGCTGATGAAGGAAGTATTATGGTGCGAACAATGTTTTAATGGGACACATTAGGGCTCATCATTCTCATCAAACAACCCCTGATGGCAGTACACTATGTGAACATCATTGCAGACCGGGTTCACCCCATCGTGGCAACAACGTTCCCGGCGAATGATGGCCTGTATCACCAGGATAATGCACCATGTTATAAGGCCCGAATCATCACGGAGTGGTTCGAGCAGGGATGTCCTACCTGCGGCCTTTTGGGCCAATAAGTATGGTCTTCTGCAGCCTGTGATGTAAATGTTGATATATATTTTTTAAGACCTTTATTTTTTTTCTATAGTTATTATACATAAATTTAAAATACACACACGCACATATAGACGAGAGGAAAAATAAGTGTTCAGCGATGTCACCTCCGGAAGCATTTTTCTAAAAACCTAATCAATCTAAACTTAAAGCAACATGGATATATAGGCAATATTTCCTTCTGAACACGGAACCAACATCACTCTCAATTAATCCGGACCACGAGTTTAAAAACCGCCTGGTGACAACACTAGTCACTAATCTCCCATGATTCAGTACTTTTCCGAGAGCAAACGTTGTGTAGTTTGCGACGGCTCTAAGAGGTGACAAAGTTCGTAGTGACTTGTGAGAGTGTAAGTCTGAGTTAGTTATAGCCTCATTTGAAAGCGTACATTCACGAGTGCCTACGTTGTTGTGCAGACTTCCTTTTTATCACTGAGACTTAGTAACAATGGTCGAATTCATTGCTATTCAGGCCTACCGCACACTGCTCCAAATAAAACTGTCTTAGACAAGACACAATCAATCAGCATCCGAAACCATGTTCTCGGATTCTTCGTCATGACTGTAGCAATTGTAATTGTTTCGATTGAAAACCATCCATATTTGACAATTTCTATTAAATTGAATATCCAACTCAGCTTCCTTTTAAAACATNAAAAATATAAAAACAAAAAAGTTATACTTTAGAAGTTAATCTAGTATCAAAAATGTTCGATTCAGCATGACACATAAAGTCCTCAGAAAAACACCACACAAAAATGTCAGTGCTGCCAGCTAAAACACACACACACCAACAAAAAAATATTGGAGTAGCTCAAAGATATAGACAAAGGTTGCAGCACCACAGCACTACCAGAAATTTAAATTTGCCGACTGGAATGCTTTCAGTTGACCGGCTTTCAGATAAACAATGCTCTACTGTATTAATAGTAGACCAGTATTAATTGGTAGTCATTGACTATCCTCTCTCTTAGGAGGAGGTTGAAGTTGAACAGTCTGTTCTTTCTATGGGTGAGTGATATGGTTGCATTCAAATAGGAAAATTACATAATACAAAGTTACTGATGATTATAAAATATGTTTTAAGAGGTTTTCAAGAGAGCTGAGTTTAAATATTTTGTCCATTTTTCACAAACTAATTAATTTGCAGATTACCATTTGATATTTGTGAATGATGCAGTATGAAGAATTAATATTAGAAAAAAATATTATATCTGAAAAAATTTAATATGTCATACTTTCAGTTCCTGTCTACTTGACTAATGAAATTGTGCTGTTTCTGTATCATCTGAGTATTGCAATATGACAGTGGTAGGCTGAAATAAACTCTTTATACGGTTTTCATTTTAATGTTGTTTTTATTTATTGCCTATGCAACACCAGGCTTTATCTGCTAGTTTATTTGTATACACAGTGATAACTAATTATAGTTTTAGTCCTGACACTATAATTTTTTTCATTTCCAACATTGTTGATTGAGATCATGCACAAAGGAAGAGGTCATTGTGACTTTTAGGAAAACAGTATAGATTTCTCTAAACAATAAAGTTATTGAAGCAAATGAGAAAGAGAATATAAGTATGAAGCAAATTGTGGACAGATTTAAGATTTGATAAGACAGCAAGTATATGAAATTTTGAAAACTGTCAGATATCAAACAGGAATGACTGAGTGGCAATAGGTCAGTGAAGAAGAAAGTAAGGAAGTCTGGTAACAAAGACAATTTTTTGAGACTGGTTTATCAATGTGAAGGCAAAGTACATTTTGTATCTGGACCAATTTTACAAGAAAAAACAGAGGAAGTTACTGAGAAGTTAGATAAGAGTAGTTTTAAAGCTTCCAATGCATGGTTGGAAAGTTTTTGGCAATGGCATTCATTCTTCTTCAAGACTGTGGAGAACCTGGAAATGTCAATGAAGAAACTGTGGTAGAATGGAATGAGAAGTGTGTATATGTGAAGGGATACAAATCCAAAGATGTTGTAAATGACGATGAAACAGATTTATTTTTTCAGGCATTACTGAACAAAACACTGTTCATAAAAGGTTATAAATGTTCAGAGGGACAATATCTTGCCATGTTTGTGTGCAGGTTTATGACAGGAGTATAATTGGCAACTTGATGTTCCAAAAAAGCAACAGCTGAACTTGCCTGTTTGTATCTATTTTAGATGTAGTGATGTGGATCACAGAAACATAAAATATGTATTCTGAGAAACAGTGCAGTCATGCTTCAGAAAGACTAACTTTTAAATGAACAATGATTAAGATCATTTGGGAAAAATGATAAAACTTTCCAAGAAGCACTTAAGCAAGCTTTGGCAGCATCTATGTGGATGATTGTTAACAATGACAATGCAACTGAAGTAGACAGTTTGTTCAGGACAACCAATGTAAGTCAACAGAAAGTGATGATGCAGCTGATAGGATTTAGATTATGAACCAAATATGAAAATGTATTAGGAAGCAGGTTAAACATCTTAAAAGACCTGCAAAATAGTTTGAATAGTTTGAGTGAAGTTTGCTTCAAGTGATAGCAGTACACAGATGATAGCAGAAGGTAATTCATACAAGTTAACCAGATGCAAACAAACAGTTTATTTGACTTCTGGAAAAAGTTAAATTTTATTCTGTCTCAATCACCAGAAATGTTTTATTTGTGTTTTTTGTGATTGTGTAGGCTGACTATGTAGAGAAATAAAGTACAAATTATAGGAAATGATGCACACAGCAGAATTCAGTTTTATTATTTTCACACTTTGAATGACCATTGGCATTCATCAATTTGTCAAAATACAGTACTGTCTTACTGTTTGTTGCCACTACACCAATGGATAATGAGCAGTTATTTATTGTGACATTGTTGCAATGCTGGGCTGCAATTTTTAATTTATTTAATTTAATTAAAATATATCCTTTTCACCTGAAATTAGTAGTCTTGCCCCTGAACATCAAATTTTCTGTTTAGCAATGGAGTCATGTCGGACATCTATCTAACTCCTTTCAAGAGAATATTTTTTAATTGAAGTAACGTGACTTCTGGTTTGCATCAGAAGTTTGTATATAGTTAATTGGAGTCTCCTGCTCCAAAGCTTTCTATATCTTTGTCTTGACTTTCGTGTATCTAACTGTTCTCAAGATTAAGGAAGCATGAACGGATGACAGTTGAAATTTATAAGTCTACAAGTTTTTCAAATTTCAGCCCAGTAAATGACTACAGAAAACATTTCCTGAAACGATTTCTGTACTGTACATACAAGGTAAACCCCATTTATACTGGAAACTTGCTCATTACAGAAAAATTTCATAATACCATCCAATTACATTATAGGCAGGTTTGACTATATCTTATAACATAAATACAATGAATACATAAGTCTACAATTCTCAATTAGTGATCATTGTAGTTGATTTTTTTTAAATATCATATCTATCAACACTATAAATTTCATTATTTGGTAAGAATAAGATATTACTTTTATTAGTAACTGTCATAAAGGATTGTCTTTAGGATAAAGTTCATTTTGACTAGAATTACGAGAGCATAGAATTTGCTTGTCAAAGTATAAATTTTAAGTTATTCAACTATCAAATTACATTCCGAAACCAAGATCATTTAAATTGTAGTGCATCAAAAGTAATTCAAAAGTCAAACTACTTAATTATTTTTGAGTGCTTGACAGATTGTTATTTTAAATTAAATGTAGAAAGTAATAAATATTTCCTTATAATGGATTATTGTATGAATTTAGTGCCTGCGTCGAGTGAAGAAAGAGGCGAAGTGTTGGGTGGCGAGAGATTGATCTTTTCTCCCAAAGACATGATCAGCATATCAATGGAATATTGTCCTATGTAAGTTAACTATTTATATCAATGTTTCTATTTTTGTTCATAAATTAAAGAATTTTTACAGGATGTTTTATTTGTTTTAAGAATAAAATTTAAATGCTACATAAATAATATTTTACTCGGATATATTTGGTAATAAGTTTTGGCATCACATTCAAACAGAAAAACGTAATTGCATATAAAATTGAATTATAAGCTTTTTTTAATTTGTAATTAAGTACTTTTGTATTTTTCTATACACTTTCCTTGTATATCATTAGTTTTTCTTAATTTATTACTATTGTTTTATTAAATATAATTACTACTATAGCCATTATAAATAATTTTGTTTCCTATTGTAAAAATTTATTAGCTTAAAAATATATTTATCTTTTGCAGAGGTGTGCTATTTCCTCATTTGCAGGGGAATCAAATTTCTAACATTAGTAGCTCACAGGTAAGAATAAGAAAATATGTTTTTTTCAGTAAGTTCATTCTATTTATTTGAAAATAAAATTTAGGAAAAATATTTTTTATTACTTTGTCAATTATTTATTAACACTGTTTAACAAAAATAAAAAATGAAATCCAATTGAAATAGCTTCTTTTAATGTGAAAATCAAGAAAAACTTCAGATTATAAGTTCATTCTGAGAAATAATTTATATATTTTTTGGTCTATAACTCTTGAGGAAAGATGTTTAATTTGTAACCACCGAAATTTTTATATTTTAGAAGTTTTCACTCCAGCGAAAGTAATTTAAATTTAATTTTGTATAGAGTTTCCTTAAGTATGTTTAGAAAAATAGCATTTTATATTTAATTTTTTAAATGCTTTGTTTAAATTTCCCAATGAGAATTTTCGTAATTGACTTCCAAAAGAATTCAATTGTGGATGTATTAAAAATTATATTTGAAAGTTTAGTTCCTAACAACTTTTTAAAACTTGCAAAATTTTGTGTAAAAATTTCTGAAAATTTTTCTATAAATTTTTTTAATCATTGTTATATTCTTACATTTGAGAACTTATGATTTTGATGAAAATTTATGTTGAATATTTTTGTTTGGTTAATTTAATTTTTGCTTCTATGCATTTGTAGCTACAACTATTTTCAGATGACCAAGACAAAACTTTTCTCACTAGTTTCTAGCCATTTATACACGAGTATGGTTTTGAGAAAGTTCTGTCTTTATCATCTTAATTTTTGCATTTGACAAAGTCAATTTGAACTTTTTCTGTTTCATGTACTTGTTTACTGACTATAAATCTGTTTTGCAAAATCTTTACTTAAGTAATATTCTTAATAGAATTTAATAATACTGTAATAATGTTTTTAAACTTTGTAAAGTTGTATCTTTTTTCAGTTACTCAAAGTGACAATCAGTCATTTGGTAGTTCTTTCTATATACACTAAAATTTCAATTATCCATGGTCCACATTATCTGAAGCAAACTTGTAAATAAATACTTTACTTTTCTTATACTGGGAATCATAAAAGCATTACTGTGAATGCACTAAGCACATAAGCACTGTAGTACTTTTAACTTTGACTGTTTAACCAATTGAATGGTCAATACAGAGGTGACGGCAATTGCGGAAAAGAAGGGAAAAACCATTATAAAACTAAACACTCAGACTTCTTAAAGAAAGTTTAAAGTAATAATGTATATTACAAACTGATTGGTTTATTTACCTTATACGATTTAACTTCGATATGAGACAAACTAGTCATTTCAACTATAATAATATGCATGTTATTCTTTAAACTATTGTACAAATTAGTTGCATAATAAATGTGAAAAATGTTGTTGATATATATGATTACATTCACTAAGGTATAAAAAAAAGGCTTTAAAAAGTGATAGCATATGAATCCTTTATAATTTTTAATCCAGAATGGCCTTGTTATCACACTATCCAAGGTAGCATTGGTCCACCTTAATTCTAATAATTGGGATAATACCATACTATGTTATATAAAGCCACTGTTGATGGTACAAGCAATTAATGTTAAATGTATTAGTTTTGATTTTATTTTTAAGACCATAAGTATTGTCTTAGTGTGATTATGAATACACTTTTAGCTACTCTGATTATAAAATGGCAACAAGTGAAATCAAACTGTGTCTCCATCCATCCATTTACAATACAAAAAATTTTGAAGCAGTTACTGGCAATTCAAAAATAGGTAAGTTCAAAAGAAACAGATAACTTGTATCTCAAGAAACAGCTTATGAACTGCTTGAGAATGCTTTCAGGGACACAAACTTTAATGATTACTGAGAAGAGAGGGAAACTTTCCAAAGAAACTGAACACTCTAAACTTAACATTTTGTTGTAGATGGCTTTGTAGTTTTAAGCAATGTCAAATTAGCATCTAATTTTAATTGTGTTAATCATGAGGAAATACAAAACTTAATTGAAGAAACTCAAGTTACAGTCTAAGAATATTAATATTTGTTTTAGCTTTCATTGCTCTAAATCATACTGTACAGTATTTTCAGCTACAGGGGTCCAAAAAGTTGCTGTGCAGTGAGAAATTTGCAATGACATTAAAGTTATGCCTATGAGATCTGTAAGTTGTTCATTTGGCAACAGTTGACCAGTTATATGTATGGTATTGCATACAACTTCAGGTTTTATATATGCAATATCATGCCTATAACTTCAATGTCACTCCAAATTTCATACTGCACAGCAACTTCTCAGATACCCTGTATAAATCGAAAGATTATAAGAAGTGTCATATTTACTATAATCCTTTTATCATAAAATCAAAAACAATTCAAAATAATTGCATTCTCTCTCTAAAGCAAACATCTATAATAAGTTTTAATTTGCTTTTGTTAAATTTAGTTTTATATAATTTAATATTTTCCTAATTTTGTTATAATTACAGTAGAGTGTCGTTTATCCGAATCATTTGGGGACTGTGTTGTTCGGATAACCGATTATGTACCAAAAAATATATTAACCTATCCCATGTTAAAATTTTGCGTGTCGCTTCGTGTTGAATTTCCATCAATGTTAAACCTAACATAAACTTAAAATAATAATTGTAGCTATTGTATTATTAAAAATTATTTCTTTATTTTGTACAAACAAAATAAATGTATTGAAAAATATGGGGGAAAAAATTATATTTTGGAAGTTAATCTAGTATCAAAAACGTTCGATTCAGCATGACACAGTCCGAATGGAATGCTTTCAGTTAACCGACGTTTCGGTTGATCGGCTTTCGGATAAACAACGCTCTACTGTATTACTGAACTGTATTTGAATTTAAAACTCACGATTTTCAGTTGTCTTTGCAATGTCTCTGTTTATGAAATCACACGCTAAAGATACGACTGTAGGATTGAAAATTTTTAATTGGTCTGACTGTATTTTTGAATATTTTAGTATTTAATTACATAAATCATAAAACTTTAGCTGCTGAAAATAGTTAAATTATATAATTTTGTATATTTGAAAATTAAGAATGTATTAGCAAAAAATTTTTAAAGTATGTAAAATTAAAATCTATTGTTTTCATTACTAAAATTGTGATAAAAATTAACTGTTGATATTGAAAATTGTGTGTATTTTAAAGAAATTGGCAAGTCGTACCAGGCTGGATTTCAGCTTCTACAATCTTGCTGTCTTGCATCATTGGTCAGACAAAAATATGAACAATGGCAAAGGAGTGTTACTCATTTATTACACATTTTTTTTTTTTTATATTAATAGTCATATAATGATTTTTACAGGAAAATAAATGCATTATTTTCCTGTGTTCTTAATAATAGCTTAATGTTTAAAAATACTTTAACTAAGGTAGTTTAGATGAATGATATCTTACTTTGGCTACAAAGATTATTTTTGTTTCAGTATTTGCAAAATAAAATTACTTAATAATAAATAATAACACTTTTTGATATTGGAAACAGTGATAAGCTATTAATATACTTTTATGTATTTTTTGTTTTACCATTATTTGAATTCTGACGTTTTATGTTTCGTCATGTTTGTAGAGTCATCGTCGATACCTTTATTGTCCCGGCGCATTAACTATAGCCCACTTGAAAAAATTGATTCATGCCAAATATAATCTCCTCCCCAAACAGCAGGTATCGAGTTGTATTAATTATTCTAAGTTATTTAAAATTTAAATAAAATTGTAATTTAATTAAGAAATAATTGTATNACAAAAGTACACCTAAAAGGAGTAAATTCATAAAAATATACATCAAAAAGCATCACATTATAAAGGACAGATAGGAACTAACAATTTGTGTATTTTAACTTTTCTTTTACAAAGAACTTCCATGCCGATGGTAAACCATCAGCATCCCTCGCATTGATACAGCCGTCTCTTAATTTACTTTCATAAATTTCAATTTTTTCATGTTGCAAAGCCAACGATGGGGACCGCGCAGTCTTGAGGATACACGCTTCATTCCATTTAACTACCGAAGCCTCCGCTTGTGCCATATTTGACAAAACCGTGGTACAATGTCCTTTACTAATGTCACATCTGTGTTCCTTAAGCCTAATAGCCAAATTCCGTCTAGTGACTCCAATATAGTCCTTCATAATTCCTAGCTGTTAGTTTTCGAAGGGAATTTTATACACGCCCGCTGTTTCTTCTTTCTTAAGAGGAGATTGAGTTTGACCGATTATAGGGAGTTAGAAGGGCTTCCACCTAAAGCTTATGGGGCTCACTTTCGTTGGACGACGGAGACAAAGTGGCCAAAGTGGATATACCTGGGGGTGGACGCATCAAAGACAGAGGGCAGGACGCCAATAAGGGTAGTGGTGGCCACGACACAGAAGCTCGTGGAGACATGGATGCTCCACGAGGCCTGCAGTGTATTTGGGGCGGAGGCACAGGGCCTCCTGCGGTCACTAAGGGTGATAACGCAGTTTCAGGAGCCGTGCGCTGTTTTTTCGTCCCCGGGGGTGATCATTGACTTGGCAGCGGGCATTAGTACAAGGAAGGAGGCATGCGTGGCGGGGTGGACCCCAAGGCATACCGGGGTGCCGATTAACGAAGATGCAGATAGGGTGGCGAGATTCCGACGGTTCCGAGGTTCCGGAACCCGACGGTTCGATCTGGCGGACGTTAATGCCAAGGGGCCTGGTAAGGGCGGAAAGGATTCATCGTGTTCGTCGGGTGGTTCGTCGGCTAACGGATTTTTGGTCGTCAGACTTGAGGAGGAAGGGAAGGGAATACCTTCGTCCGTTCGAAAACTGGTACTATCATTACACGTCAAACAGGAGCATGGAGACGGTTCTTGCGCGCCTGCGCACGGAAACGGCCCCTTTGAATGCCTTTCTGCACTCCAGACGGCTACACGACGCCTCAATGCCCTCACTGTATGGAGAGGGAAACGGTGGCGCACTACTGGCTTGAATGCCCGAAATATGACATATCTCGCAGAGACCTGGGCACCGCCCTGGGGGAAAAACTAACCACTAAGAGCACACTACGGGCGATCTTTGCGCCGACGAAACCGATCAAACCCCGCCATGTAGTGGCGGCGTTGGAAGAATACATAACACGAACAAGGCGATTTAAGTAGAGGAACCGGAGAGTAGGTAATTCGGAGAGAGAGAGCCAATATTGAGCTATAATCTCCATATAAACACTTTAGAAGAATAAGAAGGAAGGAAGGAAGCGGTTACTGTACTCTATGTTATTCTGTCTCGCTGCTGGAAAGGATTTATTATCTCGTAAGTAAATCGAAAATAATATAATTTTAATTTTATGTAATTTATCAAAAATTTATTTCTCGAAACCTAAAAGGTTTTTAAATATTTACAAAATAATAATAATAAAATTATACAATTAGACAATGTAAAATGACGAAACGGTAATCTGGCAACGCTCCGAAATTGGAAAACAGAAACGTGTTAAGAAACAAGATGGCGGAAGCAATGCGAGCAACGGTGGCATCTATGTTAAGGGGAATTGATAGGTAATTTTTTTCCGTATTTCTCTTATTTAACTAAATTAAGATCGGGATTACCATTAAGTCAACTTATACGCGATTATAGCATATACAAAATGCATTTTTCAAGAGTTACAAGCTTAAAACTGACGATATTGAGTGTGTTGTTCATTCATATTTCACAATATTTCAACGTTTATATCAGCTGTAAATGCTGTTGTTTAGTATTTTTACATTCGTTTAATGAAAACTTTGACATATTTAATTGAATTTGAATTTACTTTTTAATTTGGTATAACATTAATTTTATATAAAAAATAATAATTTGATTTTGTATAAGTAGAATAATGAAACTCGTTGCAGTTATATTTTCATAAGTAGAACGCGATATGCAGATTTTAAGATAAAGTGCATTGTTCAGAATTAATACTATATTTTATTTTCTACGCCTGCGTAAATAATTAAGCACGTAGTCTGTATATTAATGTCATAGTCTTGCTACGTGCGAATAAAAAAAATGAGATACGAGGATACAAATTTGTCTACGAACGAGGAGAACGAGACCTTATCGTAGCCGTGGGCCGTGCCCGTAACGGTACAAAAATCGAAGGAAGCGATGGTCTACGTGCGATGTGACACCGAAATCTCGACCAGTCTGCTTGTTAAACACGGGATAAGCTTTTGTGTTGCCTGCTCTGTGGCTTTGGCCGGGTCCCGATCTTGTTCGGAGCTGCGTTTGTTTCCGTTGGGGTGCTTATCTATCTATTAATGCCTTTTTACCGGGTGACTTGCCTCTTCTTTGACAAGTGACTAGAGCCTGAGATCCTGTCGTGCTCCTATTGATCACATTCATTATGCAGACACACGTGTTTACTAGTTTATAAGTTTCACATTTATATTTATTTTTTCATGTTTTAAAAATTATAAAGTTAATATTTATAAATATGAAAATGAAAAAATATATATATAAATAAAAAACGTGATGTTATAAAAATTTATTATAAAAAATCATGATTTTATAGTTTTAAGAAAGTTTCTAATATGAATTTAATAGGAAAAATAATGATTTTTTATGATTTCATGAATTTGAAAGGTTTTAATGTGTGTTACAAACATAGCTTACATATAAAATTTGTAGTATCAATTGTTGCCGAGACATAAAACATATGATGCCATGAATCACGCTGCACTCATTGTATCCATGAGACTGTGTCTGTTTCTTGTTGGTCATCGGATATGTTATGTGTGCTACGGTGTTGTTGTAATTCTCTTAGTTACCTTCAAATTCTTTTTATTTCAGTTGGGGAAATGTGTAAATGTCTTTGTTTTTGCCTGGTTTTTCAGTCCAATCGTATTTGATGCTGAAATTTTTCATTAGAGGTTACTTTCCTTATTTTTAATGTATTTCCGTCATTTTTTTCTAATTGGGCTTCTTGAAACACTGGCAGAATCTGAGATAATTCATCTGTTACATTATTCCAAAAAATGCTCTCATTGCAGTTTTGAATTTCTTTAAATAAATTTTGTATTGTAGCAAAAACCTTTCATTTAATGTCTGTTTCATGAACTGATCTGGCTTCCAGAACTTGTTTGAAAATTTCTTTTTGCATTTCTGTTTCGGTACTTGAAGTTTGCATTGCATCATCACTTGGCTCCAATCTCTCATTTCCAATTTCAGTTGTTGACTGTCCGCATTCAAGTTATACTATTACTTTGTCATTACTGCCTTTCAAGTTATAGTCACCACTATTTTCTCCAGTATTTATCTCCATTGTATTCAATTTTCAAGTAATGTATATGTTTATAAATTGTTTTTACATACAATGAATCACTGCAAGACCAGCTAAAATCATGTATACAAATTTTGCATAAGCCACATCTTAGTTGATAGTCTAATCTTGGACAGGTCTTTCTAACAATTACGTAATTCTTTTTAGTAAACTTCCAACATTTTCATTGACAAAGGATGTTACAACAACACTGTAGTACATTGATCTAAATAAGGTCAATAAATGGTTAGATAATGTGAAAATGGATGGAGAAGGGACAAAACTGATTATAGGTTTAATGGTAGTGTAGTTTAAACACAAAATTATATTGTTGATAATTGTTTGAGTGAACAAATTACTTTCTTGTATGTTTCTTGAAATATTAAAATTATATTAAAGGAAAAATGAAAATTAAAATGTAATATAAAAATGCAGGTAGACAGACAAAATTATACCAATAATAATATGTCACGTCGATAGTTGAAATACAGGGTTGCACAAGTTTCCATATAACTAGAGCTGTGTTAAGCGCATTTGAGGGCCTTAGCCATATTTTTTTAGAAGCATTGTGTAAGTACAGTATTAATAAATAACAAAAATATGACTAATAAACAATGAGATACAGACACTATAAAGGCAAGTCTCCCGATTTGGTTGCATACGATATGTGATGCAAAACTATAAATACTGTTATATTGCTACATTTGATAAAGCTGGAAAAAACAGGATAACTTAGATAATTGAGATCCTGCCATATTTATTTTTTGTAAAGTGGCTCGGCCGGTTCTAACTGATGTGCCGCAAAGCCAATCTAAGTGTGCTCCGAGATGAATTAAACAATTAAAATGACAAATCTTAAAATTCACAAAAAATAAAATGTACTTCTACACTAGTCATATAGAGAATGTACTAGAGCAGATCTGGCCAACTAATGATGGGGTTAGATTGACTTTTGGGAGTCAAAAGCATTGATGATCTACTCCATATTTTTGTTTCATGGGAGCTTAATAATCTATCCTATCAAAATTATTTTGCAAAATTTAGTCGTATTTAGTTATTGCAGAGCAATGTTCCAGGTTACCTATTTTTGTTAAAGATATTATTTACTTTTACTGCAAAAAAAAAAAAATGTATTTCTTTTTGTCAGACAAATTCTAAATTTTGCTTCTCTTCGGTGCACTTATTTTGCACTGAACTGAATTGTTTATGGTTTAATAAAACAATTTCTAATTGGTCAGCATTGGCTATAGACAAAAGGGACACTTCATATTCATCTTGTAGAGCACTGTTACCAACCCATAGAGAATAGTTTAAAGATTTCTCTATGAAAAATATGGATTTACTATTCATTCTTATTAAAATTGCAAATGTTTGTTGCTTTTTAACAAACCGTATTATCTACGATTGCCCAAAAATGATACGACAGTTGATAGGTCAATCATGATTGACTTGTTCGTGCCCGTATTAGAGATGGCTCTGTGAGCAACCTGTTTACCAGTCCTGTAGATTGGTAAACAGGTCGCTCACATATTTAATAATAATAAAGTATGTTGCAACCTTTGCATGATACACACAGGCTGTGATATACCCGAACAGGCATCCCGTTGGTATATCTGAACGTGTGGATGACAACTGTCAGTTTTTTCGTCTGCACATTTGATATGCCAGATAGACATGCCTGTTCAGGTATATTGATACATATGTAGCCAGCTTTAGTGTGCAATGAATCTGAAAAGTTTGAAGTCAGTGATTTTGCTGTTCTTGTTCATCTTCTGTCAGTTCTTCTCAGATATTCTCTTTCTTTTGTTATCTCTGTACAATTGCTTATATCTCTACTTTTGCTCTTTATGTAATCCTTGAATTATATCTTCTCAAAGAATATAAGGCCATTCTTTACATCTCTGTCTGGATAGTTTGTATTTCTTGATTATTTTTGACTTGCTAGTACAGAAAGACCCCGCTTAATGCGGGGGATACCTTCCTAGATGACAAAGCTCTGAATGAAACAGCGTTAAACGAGGTCATTTTAACACAGAGTAAATAGGGAAAGGGGAACACACGACCAAAAAATAAACAGATTTTACTTTAATTTTAAGTTATTTTATATTAATTTGCATAATAATATATGTCAAATAACAAACATATGCACACAGAAATGTGAAGTTCATTTTTTGTGACAAAGGTCCTGGCTCTTCTGAAATTCTTGCTTTTTGTGATAAAGTCGTGTAGTTTCATTTGTCACTTTTTTCTTTACTTAAGCAAATATCACTAGCAACAGATTGCGTCCAAAATGCCTCGTCTTGCTTTTCGCTACTTTCAAAATCTGGATAATTCCCTACAATTTGATTAACAATTTCGGTTAGTGTTACCAAACTTTCACTAAGGAAATCTGTAGAGAAATTCTTTGGGTTCTTCATTTTCAGAATCTCTATTTTCCAGTTCTACAGGAATTCCTTGTTTTCCCAGTTTTTGAAGGTTGTTGTTGGTAAGTCTCTACAGTAACCTTTCAATATCCTGCTCGTCTACATCTCCTAGTCCTGCTGTATCGATTAGGCTGATCAAACTCAACCTAACGATACAGTGATAGGCTCTTCTCATTGAGAATTCTTGGATACTTCCAGCCATAACTTCTTCCGCACATTGTTCATGCATTTATCAGTTAATCCTTGCCAAGCGAAGCCTATGGCATTTATGATGTTATATTTTTTCCAAAATTGCACCAAACAAACATAGATTTAAGGAAAGTACAGTGGTATGACGAATTGCCCCCTTTATCTGATTGTTTGTGTTTGGGAATAATCATATTATACAGTATACGAATCAGTGAAATGCCGTGATAATTTGAATCAGTATAAATTTTGAGCTTTTTTTTAAGGTTTCCAGCAGACTGCATTATATGGAATCAGCGTTAAGAGGAGTCTTACTGTATAAAATTATATTAAGTAAAATATATTGATTTAAAGATTTACTTTTAAACTTAGAAAAAGTTTATTTTTAAATAGTTCTTCCTTAATGTATTTTGTGGTACTAAGTTCTAGTCTTATACAAATACATTTGTAAATATTTACAATTATCATTGAATTTTCTTCGTAAACAGTAAAATTGATTTTATGATGTGGGAATCAAATGCTGGAGATTGCAAGTTAGAATAATAACGGAATTATTTTTATATTATTTAGCCCACAGTGAAATTGGTTTTGTTATATGTTGTTTTGTCTAATGTCTGCTTCTGAAGTCCCATCAATGAGTTTAAGTGAGGACTTGCCACTTATGAATATTAACTCTGCTGCATATTGATAATGAACAATTCATAACTTGAGCAAGAGTTTCTTTACATAAGAATGCTATGCGAGGCTGTTGCTTTGTGATAAAAAATCCAAAAGTGTGTAGAATTGATCTTTATTCTTGTTTATTACATTGGCCAAAAATTCTAGTAAGGAAATGGTGCAGCCAACAGATATCTTGAATATTTATCTTCTTTCTAATATAAGACTAGGGTGACTGGGTGGCGAAGGTGGTTAAGGAGTCGGCCTATCTTTATTCAGGACCTGGGATCAAATCCATGAATGTTACTCCGGGACTGTATGACTGTTCTTTCCGGGTATGTTTCGTCTCGTCTCGTCCCTTGCCATTCTAGCATTCCTGTTGTAAGCCTGGTTAAACCCAACAATGGATTTCAAAGTTAGACAGGACTATCATCTACCCCTTATTTTAAATTGTAAACAGACATCTTATTGCTAGTAAGATTGATAATGTAAATATTATTGATGATAAATGAAATCCAATAAATGAATTAATTAAATCTGTATTTAATGATTATAAGTTGTTCTTTAAACATCTTGCCCTGAACTGATACATTATAATTTCGTGATAAATAATCTGTAATTCTGATTGATAGAATATTTGTTTTCTTTATATGCATCTTGTTAATTAATTAATTTGTAAATTTTAAGGTATAATCCAGAAAATCTCCAAACTCTTCATAAATACGTGGAAATCCAAGCCAGGGAGAATGCTTATGATCTCGAAGCAAATTTGGCTGTTCTCAAATTGTAAGTAGTTTATTCTTTTGTGTTGTGTATTTTATTTGCAAAGTTCTGAAGTTGTTTGTAAGATTAAGTTATTAATGCTGTGATATAACATGCGAAACAGACTTGAGCTATAAGATAGTGCTGTGCTGTATTTCTCTATTGTTTTGGAATAGAGAGATCTTAAGCCTGAGCTCGGTTGTCAACGACTGCAGTAATCTTCTCTGAAGATGGCATTGGATGTATAATTTGATGTCGATATGTTGGTCAATGATTAATTTCACATTGTTGGGGATTGTGCAGAAGAAAATGTAAATTAAAGACTACCTCTTGGCTTTTGGTGTAGATGTAATTGGCAAAAACAATGTGAAATATTTGTGATTATGTTTTGTTCAATGTAGGATAGTTATTTAATTGGTCCATGCTTAAATCAATAAATTTATTCTGTTCTTGATCACATAACTAATATTAGATTTAGGATTGCAATAAATACAGTAGCCACTATACAAATTGCATCACCTATAAAATCCTATAAAGATGTGTTTAATTTTTAAATTATTGTTCATTTTGTTGCACATCTGAAACTGTAAAGATTGCGACGTCATAAACCCGAGATAACTTTTCATTGGTTGATAAAGTTTTTCTATAGTAGTGTTTCTGGCAATTGAATCGGACATAGGTATAAAAATAAAAACCCATGCATAGGTGGATATATTTTTCATAAAAATATACTACTGGCCAACGTGAGAAAAATGGAGTTTTCAGCACATAAAAAGTCTGTGATCATCACTTTGAATGCTAAAAGTTTAATGTTGTTAAGTATTGAGTGTGCATTGTCATCGACAGTTGTGTATCTGTTACAAAGATGAGGAGAATGATCAGGAGGTAACTGCATGAATACACACTACCAGGATAGGATGCCAAATCATCTCAGCCTGTGAGAACTTACTCCATGTTTTTCCAAAGTGAAAGTAAATGTGGGAAAAGCAAATGAGTGCACAAACCATGGGATCTGCCATGCAAGATGGATTTAAAAGTGTATTCTCCCCATAAGAAGCATAGACAATGACTTGGGCCTAAACTGTAAGAGAACTTGACTGCTCTCACGTTGGATTCATAATGTGCATGAATTTGATGTCAAACCTTACATTAGTCATAAAAAAATGAGGTCTATAACAGGGATTGATTGATGCAGGTAGTAAAGAACGGGAATGCATAATCTGGGAAAGGTGTTGGCAGACAATGGTTTATAAATGGGTCTGCAAAGCCTATGTGAGGCCTGAAAATAAACAGCAACTGGAAGAGTGTATTACTCTCTTCTTCATCAAAGAATGAACCTTGTCAAAACATGACTCCATTCAAAAAGCTTCTTGTCGGCTACTAGGCACCTTATGTCTTCATTTGCAAAAGAAAAGAGTGCCACCAATTTTAACATTTAGAACTTATTTATAGGCAGCAATATATTGACAGTCATTAATAAGATGCAATTTCTTAAATGAAATGAAAGATTGATACATTTTAGAATACGATTTGGATATGAAAAGCTGAAACAATTCTCACGCTGTGCAAACTGATCTCCATCATAATATAATATACTGTATTGTTAAGTACCATGCTATGTAATTGTTAAGTACCATGCTACGTAATTGTTGCCTATCATTTACAGCAGTGGTTCTTCATAATGAAAGTTAGATGTACCCCTTCGATTTATGCTTGTACCCTTAGGGGTACATCTAACTTTCATTATAAAATGGCATACGTTAATCAATTTGCTGTAAATTATTAACACAAGAAACAAGAAATGACAAAAACTTGCTTTAAAATATCCCAGTATGAACACCAATTTTCCTTTTAACAGTCCAAACAACTTGTTTATCCACTCAATTTGTGTGTCTATTTGTGCCGTTAGTGCCGAGTGAACCTGTAATCTAGTAAAATTACGGTTTAACCGAGCATTAATTTTAGAATAGAAAAAATTTTATTTTCTATTCTATAATTATTGCTTGATGAGATTGAGGCTTTTTGTGTTTTTACTGGACTACTGGTATTAATAATAATGAGGCATGGATTGTACCCCCACCATGCAATGCGTGTCACTGCATGCACACATTACTTGATATTTAGCAAATTTAGACATTACGTTTGTTACAAAAATTGAAAAAGTCATGTATTGTTCTGGTCGTTATAAATTTGTAGCCATTACTTTCAAGGTCAGTACACAATTATAATCTCTAACAATGTGGGGAACCAAATTTTGAAAAAATTGCTGAAGATTTATCGCAACAAATATCCCATTAAATTTTGTTAGAAATTATTGCAGATCGTTAATTATAATTATTTATTTTTAGGAAGTGTAATTTAGGCATGTATGGAAATGACTTCTGTGATTTTATATAATATACTTATCAAATAGGTACATACACATTTATTAATTAAATTTATTATTATTTATGTAAAATAAGTAATTCACTTTTAGTTATAGTTAGTTAGTTAGTTAGTTAGAGCTTTTTTATGACGTTCAGTTATAAGAGCCGCGAGAATCGTATAGTTAGCAGTCTGGGATATGCTAAATTTATTATGCGACTCGGTAGGTCTGGAAGGCTTTGGAACCGAACGTGCCAGAAAATTGGCAGCCGACTCATATTTTGTGAATTGTATTGCATCAATATTATCAGAATGTGCTTCTTTCAAAATGTTAATCATAATATTTTTGTGTTGCAGATATCAGTTTAATCCGCCGAAATTTCAGAAGCACGTGGTGGAACAGATACTGTTGAAAGCCCTCACCAACCTTCCGCACACGGATTTTGTTTTGTGCAAGTGTCTGATCGATCAGAGTCACGTATCCTTTGAAAAATTGAATGGTCACAGAGTAAGAGCATGCACCAAAATGAGGTGACAAGTGATCTGACTTGGATGTCACTCACTGTAAGTAACTTTGCAGTGACACACAAGCAATGATGATCACTTGTGATTCAAAGCAAACTAGAATGATCTAGCAGCAGTCCATTTAGTAACTATGGCTAATTCCAATGATGATGATGCTTTGGACATACTAAACTGGATCATTTTTCACGTTTATAATTAACTAAGTTTGCTATTTGTCTTTAATGAAAGTTAAACATGAAAGTCTGCCAAAAGTGAAGCATGCTGCAATCATGCGGCAAGAGGTGCGTCACTTGTGTGTGATACCATCTCGGTGGGCATCAACACACATTTTTGTTTTATCGATTCCATTTGAAAAGGCATGACAGATTCCAGATTACGTGTCACATTGCTTTGATGCATGCTCTGGTTAAGAGCTCTGAGGACGAGGCTTCTTTCTCCAATCCTTGATTTTGTCTTATCCATCTTAATCGTATGCTAGTATCTGGCAAGATCAGACTTTTTTGCCAGATACTAGTATATGATTGCTACACCAGCATTTCAATCACTTGGAAATCATTATTTTTATATGCATACTATTTTAAGAAAATTGTCATCTTCCTTGACAGAAAAAAAACAGTTTGAACAGAGCAAAATCAAGGAAATTATTGAGTTACACGATTTATTAGAAATGGCAAAATTTAGAGAGTTTTGGGTAAGTACAGTTACTTGACAAATTGTAATTTTAATCTGCATGAATAAATAATAGAAATTCCTTGTTTCAAGGAGTGTAATTTTTCAGTGTGTGCTTGACATATCAATAGTAGTTATTTGGTTATTTGGTAAGGTCATGTAGACGACTTCTGATTGAGACAGAAAACGATTATATTATGTACTCTCCTAAAGATGGATGTGTACTTGGATCCAGTTTAGTAATTTGCGGCATTAGTCAATGCAGGCCTCATATTATACATAATCCAGCAAATGACGAGGATGGAACGGAACGAGGGCAGTGAATTGACTTTGGACCCAAATCTAGTCCCTAGAGATAACCGAATATAATTTACTGCATAATCATTTGACCCATGGATCAAATTTGTGCATTAGGCAAATGTTGCAAATTTAAATCTTAGCCGTAACCATAATTAGATAATTCTTGGTAATTTTTAGTTGGTAGTATTTTCATTGATGAGTATTTAGTACATTAATATCATTTTGCAATAAAAAAAAAGTTTTATAGATTAATTTTTTGTCCTCTGTCAAGTGCTGAGGACGATAACAATGGATGTCAGGAAATGTGAGGTTCGTGCTGTGTCGGAAACTTTGACTACTTAGATAAACATTTTCAGAGGGCCGTTCATTTTACTCTACAGTTGTCATTACGGTTACGATAAAACACTGCCTTATATAATGTACAGTACTTAATACCATATATGGGACATTTCTGAACTGTATTTTAAATACAACATTTTCTTTTTTATTTATAGAAAAAAATAAAAACCATGAAAGAAATCAATACAATAACTGGTTTTGAAGACTCCATTCGAAAATGTAAGTTGTTTCTCACAATTTTAAAATTTGATTTGGTTTCAGCTAACCCAAATAACTTTCTTTACAGTCATATGCCACATAATTAACATTACCTACCAAAGGGTGAGCAAATCGGAACTGGCAGAACTACTAGGAAACTTGGAAGGTTTGTGTCATTTATTCCTTTTGTCACTTGATAAAATATGTAGATTTAGTGCCATAACCTTGGATGCGCATTATTAATTGCAACGCCCAAGTTTGCACACGTCTACACGCATCCATGCTGGGCCGTCTACAAATTTTTCCGGAATGCCGCATACAAGGACATTTTGAAAATGCGTTGTTTGACAGTGGCAAACAACAATAAAATAAATAGCTAGAGACGTAATAGATTTCTTTAAATCACATTCCAAACGGGTTCATAAATTTCTTAATGAAATTTGGAAAATTATCATTGCATGATGTTGAAATTTGAAGTGTGCTCTCATAACATTATTTACTAATGAGGGGTTTTGGGCAAAACTGGATTCAAACTATAGAGGCTGAAGACTGATAGTAAATGCTAGAATATTAGCCACGGCTGGCCAGTCATTTTTGTATTAAATGGCAATTTGAAATTTATCCGATCAAGTTTGATTTTTTTTTTTTAAATTGTAGGTCTCTATCCCATTTGTGATGTAAAGACACTTTAAAAAAGCAAAATGTGAGGAGTTTAGTTGTGTGAAAAGTACTTGGTCGGCACAAGAATGGCCCGGGTTCAGATTGACTACATTAACATTTATTACTTCTCTCCCTCTCCCTTTTTCATGTTGCTTATATTAACCCATGATTGTGTACAGTGGCAGCAATTTTCTGTGCCTATTAGTTTTTCATAGGAAATTTTACAGATTTGACTTGGCACGTAGCACGAGGACTGCAGCCAAATACCCTTGCAAAAATTTTTTCCTGCTCGTCACAGATCCTCAGAAAAAAAGCACCGTGGATTGCTGCTTGCATGTACAGTTGGGTACAACTACACATGCAAGCAGCAGTCCATGCAAATTTATCATCACATGATCGTATGCACAAGACGGCAATTTTTGGGACATCGTAAATGTTTTTTTGCAATTGCTAGATGTAGTAATCCCGACGACATGGAAGTTGCTACAATGTTTAAAGTGTTCTGTAACATAAACTGTTGCATCCCTAGGCTAAATGATTTTGCAGGTTTATCTTGTGCTCAAAAAATGCAGAATATGATTTTTCCAGTCCTTCTGAGAAACTCCTCGGATCTGCCATCATTTATTTGCAGCCGATTGCATTTCACATTATCCCACACTACTATAAAGTTTCAAGGGCTCTCACAGATATTGTTTTGTAAAGTAAACAATGTATGATGTTGAAATTTGACAGGTGTAGAAAACATTTTTCAAAAGTGTCAAATTTGATGAATGGCAATTACTTGCAGTGTGAAGTCACCGTCTTTTATTAATCTTTGATTGCATACATAAGGTTAATGTGACAATACTGTTGCATTCCCTTATGTGTGACTGACCAATATACTTATCCTCATCCTCAAGAGGTCAATATTGTCACAGTGATTAATATTTTGATTTCCATATATATTTTGTAATTGCAATAGTGAGAACCACTTCTTTTCACAGCAAACTTTAAGAATTGCTTCAATAGATTCCAAGATTCTTTTGCTATTGGAAAATTTATCTAGAAGGAATGATATGAAAATGGTATAGGGGGACTGTACTAATTCTACTACAACACTCTTGATAATTCCATTTTATATGAATTCCATGTTATACGAGTCACTTAAATTTTACAAATACACGTACCGGGCTGTGAACGGCTCACATATTTGTAAAATCTAAGTGACTCATACAACATGGAATTCATATAAAACAGAATAATCAAACAGTGTTATAGGGGGTCGACTGTACTGAGTTTTTTCAGTTTTACACGTCCGAGTGAGCCTTATCGATGATAAGATGCATAAATATCACGAATTTCATGTGTGTCGAGGACCCCTCCACTACAAAGTCCCTAAACCCTTTGACTAATCTGGACCAAATTCTGTATATGAGAGTAACTATGGGAAACATATGGTACCTAAACAAAGGCAACGCCAGGCATTCTTTGCTAACTATTGACCCAATTTGTGTTTTATTTTATTTCTAGACAACCAATTGGATTTGGCTATGTGGATGAGCAAATACGGATGGAAGGACATCGGCGACGGAATGGTCTTTGTGGCCAATCAGGAAGAAAACATCAAGACCAAGAATATTGCAGAGAAGATAGACTTCGAAAGTGAGTACACTTTGTTACTCATTCCCTTCAGCAAAATTTATGCTTATCACCAAGTCCCTTTTTATTTTATAGGTACTGCTGCTATAATGTCGTCCTGCAGGTGAAGGTATCGCTTCAAATAAAAACTTTTGTATACTGTTTGGAGTCGGAATAATGTTTTATTAATACAAAATAAAAGAAAAAATACTAGACAATACATTGCATTAATCCATTCTGGTCTTCAAAGTCTTCACTGTTACTTTGTCCTTTTCACTGAAAAAAGAAAAAGGAAAATCAAAATAAGCTTTATACAAATTGTTACCGAACAAATATGACAAAGCCATTGATTGGCCCTAATCATTGTGGGCTATAGCACATGTTCCTTTCTTGTAATTCCAACCAAGTAAGATCACAAAGCTATTTTGTATATCTGAAAATAGATGATGAATCCATTCAATTTCTGCCAAATGTTACCATTTCACAAACTACAGAGCAATAGTTCATCAAAGGAACGCAAATGACCATTAAAAAATTCCCTCTGACGTTGACCAGTTTGTGCCTGGCTTAACTGTAGTTAGAAAGTAACAATAGGTTGATTTCTCAATGGCTAATCATTAGAAATATAAAAACTAAGTGGCATGTCAAATAATTTTCAAGTGACATACAGATACAGGCCTTAATGTAGGTGCCAGTGCTATCCACAAACTTCCTCCAATGACAGAGATAGTTGTCACTCTATCTGCATGATAATCCTCTGTGTATTAGTTTTGAATGAGAAGCGTTGAATACGGCAAGATGTTCCTTTACCATATGCCACCTATGCTGGGATTATAAAATTCCATTGGTCTATAATAAAATGTGTACATGTGCACACATTTTATTATGAACTCTGCAATATCAAAATGCCTAGTTACTTTCCACCCACACAGTATATAATAATACTCCCCAATAGGACTGGCAGCCATTCTCATGTATGAGTGTTCAGTACAGTGATGACTTGTCACTGTACATAGCATGCAATAATAAGTATGTTGTGCACATTTTTCAACTTAAACCTTAAAATTGAAGAAATACAAATCCACGTATAGGAGAAACTAAATTATTGTGATGAATTTCTTGACGACAGCTATTTTAGAGGGTAACCAATACTTTGCAGTATTAAACAAAATTGGTTAGTGATATCTATATTTTCTGGGCCACACCAGATCTTGAAGGCCAGTTAATCAAGATATATTTTTAAACTTCAAGAATTGTTAAAACCAATTTGACCAAAACAACTGAATCACAAAAATGCTTATGAGTTTAAAATAAATCTTGGGTCACTACTAAAAGTAGAGTGGAATAATTTTCACACAAAGAGACTCAGAAATACAATAACGTACACTAATCCTCCATCATTTCAATAGGAATAAAGCCAGGGCTGTGGAGTCGGTAGATTTTTACACGACTGACACTGACTTTGCCTTACCAGGGCGGACACATTAACAAAATAGGCCCGGAAATTCTGACATCATCACGTGACCAAAGAATTTAAGCTTCCATAAATATAGTTCTAATAAAGATAAAAAAGTTTCTACATTCTGTTACATAGCTAAAAAACTGTTGTAAGAAACGACACAGTCTTATCATTATCCAATCTCAATTATATTATAAGCACAGAGCCCAAAAGGTAAAATTTGGTACACAGGGTTTCACGAGAACATACACTAAGAAGGAATTTTTTGAAATTCCCCCCCGGAGGATTAAGGCTTATCCTAAAGAATGGCTTCCACTATACTATTTTAGATGCCTTTTTTGCAGGGAATCAATCATATTTTTAGACCCTTCTAAAAGTTCTTAATGATATTTAGTGCTCCATCATATTCAAAGTTGACACAGGGAGCGCATGTTTGCTTTATTAAAACTCTTCATCGTAATGTTCGATTTTATGTTCAAATTCATATTTATGAATGACTCTGGAAGATCCAGCTTATTTTTGGAATTAAGTAAACCTGAACAACTCGGAAAGTGTCACGAAAATGTTTGTTATTCATCACTTAGTGCAATCACTAATCAGTGTATAGTACTACTGAGTCTTAATTATAGTTATTCTGGTGTGGTAAGCAGATCTCTAAAAATTCTCTAATTAGGCCCTCCCTCTTCCAAGACTAATTCTTGCACCCATTGAAAACAGGTAAGATTGGCTACAACGTAATAATCTTAATCTTTGCTATCGTTACTTTTTCCTCGAGCAATGCTGGGCTCATCTGCTAGACAATGTATAAATATGTATTTAATAATAATTACTTTTCTGGTTGTTATATATAATAGAAGAAAAGTGTAGCAATTGGTCAAAAACATAACTCCATTCCAAATTTTTTACATTTTTGGACTCAGGAAACTTCGAAATGTCGAGATATGCAAAACATTCAGGTTTTTTTTTTCCTGTATGTACAGATGTTATACTGTCGGGGGGACAAACACTCTACTGAAACTTGGGTTGCTGGCAATGCTGTATCTTGGATAATGTCTGGATATTGCAGTACTGCCATTTTAACATTCAAACTTGAAGACTGGTCAATGTGATTTATTTTTTCCAGTGCAATGTAAAAATCATTTTGTAAGATTTCCTTTTCTGTCTGTGCTAATATTAGAACTCAAGCTTAATTTTCAGGGTAGAGATGAGTTTTATAAAAAAAAAAACTAGCAATGAGCCAGATGTTGCTTGGGCAAAAATTAACGATAACGAAGTTTAAGATTATACTGATCTTACACTGGGTGCAACAATTAGGTCTCCTCTCTTCCAAGACTAATTAGAGAATTTTTAGATGGGTCTAAAATTATGTTTGATTTCCTGCAAAAATGCAAAACACCGCATCTAAAATAGTACAGTAGAATCCAAATTCTTCAGTGAAATCCTTAATCTGATGAATTAACATGACAAAATGAATATTGATAGAGTAAATAGAAATATTATGAAATTAAAGGCTGTTCTCAGTTGCAAAAAGTACTACAGAAAATTATATTTTATCATTTTGATAAAAATTTGAATAAAACAATATAGAAATATAATGAACATTTTCTTATTTAAATAAGAAACAACTCTGTTGAGATTACTAAACATACGTTAAAACAATTTAAAAACTTCACAAGCATAATAAAGTCCTGCATTCAATTACAAATTGAATAAATAGGAAAATAAATAATTTTAAATAATATAATTAATTAATTATTTATTTAATATAGTGATACAACACACAAAATTGTCACTAAAATAGAAGTAAGTGAAAAATTGTGTGTGTTAATGAAACCAAAAACAAAAGTACAGCAGCTAGGAAAGGATGTGTATATGCTGTGTGACACCCAGAATACTAATACGCAGCAAATAGCAATGTAATATATTTTTTTCTTTTTCACTCAATTCTGTTTACTTGTATCATTCAATGAAACTTATGTAATAGTGTTTTTTCACAAGGCACACACAAAGAGAGATTCTTTCTTTCATGTAGAGATGTGCAGTTTTTGCCCTTCTTCGGTTCCTTTAATTTTATTGGTGTAAAGCTAACTTAAAATTTATTATAACTTCATAAAGTAAAAATATATTTCTCCTACTTATAATATTTTATAACGTTCAAATTCTTTTTAAACATTACAGATTACAGCAACATTATTTTTACTAAAAGAATGATTCACATCAATTATAATTCTAAAACATATAATATATATATATATATATATTTGTTTATGTTTTCAATTACAACATTTAACCAAGACAGTGAAAATGTTAAAATATACATCACTTTACTAGGATATCATCTTACAATTTTTACAAAATTATTTCTATCTTTTAGTGATGAAAGACTACATAATCTGTATATTCCCATTACTACACTACAGGATTTACAATATAATTTTGTCATAATTTATGTTTCTAATCCATTATTTCTGTTAATTTTGTTATCTAATAAAAATATTTGTAGTACAAATATTTTATACAGTTATGACTCATGTAAATCATTCTTTCATTGGAATTAAAAGTAATGGTACTGTAAACATAATGTACAAAATTAATTTGGATAAAACTACTCTACACAGCTAAGTAGTGTGTTTGCCCCACATTACATCTCTGATGCTCCTTAATTAATGTCACATGTTAATGTCCTTGATACGGCCCTAACATAATGTATATTAACAATTGAAGAACTATTTTCGAGTGGAATCAAATAGTTCCTGAACTTTTCCAGTAAACTACAAGTATCGCTATCATTACACGGTAACTTACAGATGCATGGTGGGGCCTAATAGGGATGATGTACTTAAATGAGCTAATCGGCTGTGCTACAGCTAAGGAAACATAACTAAAATAAATTCACCTTTCTTAACAATTACAGCAGTAACAGAAATTGTACAACTTTAGAGTTAAGATATTTGAATTTAGCGTATATGTAGCCATGCTCAGAATCTGCTGAGATAACACGTAATTCTAATTTCTGTTCTAGCATTGGATACTTGACTATAAATTACTCGGTTGTGACCATTTTTATTACATTGCTGTGTGCAACATATTAATATTTTGGATGACACAATATTGTTTTAATATATACACCCTTTCTAGTTGTACATTTTTTTCTCAGTTTCCTTAAAGCATGTAATCTTCATTTATATTTCAGTGTCAATTAGTTTTGCATGTGTTATATCAATATTTCTTGGGCTGCAATTTGAAAATATTGTAGACCTATAAATTCCCACTTTCATCCATGTGACTATCTATATCTCCTTCATTAATCTCAAGAACAGAGTTATATAGACGAAAACCTAAACCAGATATGGAAAGCTTAAGGGCAGGAGGCCCTGATTAACTATAAATGAACTTCTGATGCAAACTGGAAGCCATGTTATTTCAATTCAAAAAATTTTCCCTGAGAGGAGTTAGACAGATGATTGGCATGACTCTATTGCTAACAGGAAAAGTATGATGTACTGGGGAAGACACTAATTATTTGAGATACAGTTCCTACATTTTAACTTTAGTTTTGTTTAAAATTAAGTAAACTTACTTATGCGATACGCTTCTATAAAGTTATTTATTTACTTTTCGATTTTCTCAAATTTGAGATTCAGTACTAAAAATGTCTAAATTTACTTAGCACTAGAAATTCCTAAATTAATACTTACATTATGTACACTATGCCACCCCATCCAGCCAGAGCATCTCGGTCAAATGCATTGACTAAAGCCTGGGATATTTTTTCAAACAGGTCGTCTGGTTCCTAAAAACAAAGGCATTCAGAATTAAAACTAATACGGTTGATCAGAAGAAAAATATAGGGATGTAACCAGAAATTTCTGAGGATTACATCTTGCATAGATTTTGTATAAGTAAGCAGGCTATAGTAAAAACATAACAACCCAAGATCAATAGGAACATTTTGTGCAAGAATCTGCCATATTGTTATGACAGCTGCTTGCATGTTAAATGCAAACCAGTGAGACACGTGACAATACTCAATAGAAGAAGAAAAGGCTGAACAAGAACCAAGTATTAAATTTTTTTATTCTGCACCTTGTGGCTGTTCTTTAAGTTAGTCTAGTGTTTCTTAAGTTAGTCTAGTCTCTGTTCTCTGTTAGTCTAGTGTTTGAGTCTGATAAACCTGTTTTTCATTTCATCCAGTGATCAACTGGTTGAGACGTTTTTATGCTGTTTACTTTTAAGCTCATGTAGGATGATAGTGGGGCCAGCAGAGAGCCCCATGTGGGAAATGTCATGCCTATGGTTACATCCCTGTGAATATATCATTAATCTCCTCACCAAATCTGGTTCCCAAAGTGCTTCACACATTCCAAATGCCTGCTCTGTGCTAGTTCCTGCCACAACAAAGTCCTCCGGTTCATTAGGACATCCTATTAGGTCGGTACTACAGACGTATGGCTTCAGTGTTACCGGATCCAATCCAGCAATAATGGGCTCCACAAAATAAGGGCCAAACCTGTCAGGAAAAAAATAAAAATAGTTAAGTAATTTTGAGCCCAAGTTTATAATAAACAAAAACTATTTTAAAAAAATATTAAAAGAATAGTTTAAACAAATCATTTTAAGTATTGATATCAAGCACTAATATTTGCAATTAAGTTGTAGAATTTTATCCGATGGCAATTAAGTTAAATTAAATTGAAGACTTTGAAAGTGAATAAATGGTGATTCCTTTTACAACAGACTATTATGTCTTCAATTTAATTTTTAAACAATATTATTTGCATAACTTGGAAATAGTTGTAGAAATATAAGGTTTAAATTTTAGGGTATAAATGAGTTTTTAAAAAATATTGTAAATGCCAATAATGAATAAAATTTTCATTAAATCTGACCCAGTCGAGACATCACGATTTCCCTATCCATCTCCTCACTCCTTTGATCAACCTTTAATTGCCAAAATTAACCCCTTCCTAGTATAGCATCACTGTCCCATACATAGAAATAACTCTGTCAAGTTTAAAAATTTTTGGTTCATCCAGTCCTAAGATGTAATGCAAAATAGTTGACAACACAATTTTTTTTAAGGATTTTGTTTTTACATTTTTAGGCTCTTTGAATGTGAAAATGTTGAGAAATAAGAAAGCTGGGGGTCAAAATTTTGCTGATCACCATACTTTTCCTATGTTACGGCTGAGAAAGTAAAAGGCTCTCCTAATGCTCAAAATATATAAGAGTTAATGCCAAATTGAAAACACAGATTTGAAGATGAACTAAATGCATTTTATTCTGTCACACACACAAAAAAATGCTTCATTGTCAATAAACGGTTAAACATAACAAGCACCCTGTTTAATTCTTCTTCATAATTTTCAAAGAAATGTATGTGCATAAATTTACATTTAAATACTTGACATCAAAGTACTGTAAAAAGCAAATCTTACCTTCTCTCGTAGAGGAGATTGGATACCATAGCACAAAATGTTTTAGGTCTGATCTGTCTGTTTTCTCTCAGTTCGTAAAGATTCAGTCGAAATTTTAATCTCTGAGCACTGCAATTAAAGATTTTTACCAAGAGAGATTAAATGAGTATAGTTGTATCATTAAAAACAATATGTAAAAATAGCAAATAGTGGATAAAAATAAATATTAAAAAAATATTTTATCAAATTTTAAATTTTCTATTGCTTGCATTCATACATGTTAATTTAATCGTTTTTATAGTTAAAATTCTGTTTATTTGACTACAATTTATGCCAGGAATATGACTTTTTCAGAGTCACCATTCAAATTTCTAAAAATAATGTTCTATCAATACATAAAAAATGAATTTAATAATATAATTGCAACACTTCCAATAATTTTACTGCATGTTATCATGCAGCAAAATTTCACAAACAAGTGTCACATGTGGAGGATAAGAAAACAATAAAAGTTTCACAGGGATAAGAAAATTAGTGTAAAAGTAGTAACTGTAATCTTACAATAATGTTATGGTTAGATGTTACCTAATTGCTTATCTGCTTACTTTAATTTAATTGTTGTATTCAAAATTAATAGTAGTAATATTAGTACAAAAATCTGTGAATGATACTTGTTTATGCAAATAAAGCCAAGTAGTTACCCTAATTCCCAAACTATGAGGGCCATTCTAACAGAAAAAAAACGTTTTGATCTGACAAGCTGTGCAGTTCTCCCATCACCCTCCACTGCTACGTCATGGACCTTCCCATGTTTTCACACCAGTCTGATGTTAACAGTTAGCCACAATGATCGTTTTCTGTTTACAGTGTGACTTTGAGATGTGTGACAAAATTAAAGATCCTGCCAAGTGTGAGGTTTGTAGTGTAATATGCTTTTTGAATGCAAAAAACATCTGCGCTATTGAAATTTACAGACAGATAACTGAGGTTTATGGTAATGTGATGAACGAAGCTTCAGTTCGAAACAAACAGCGGGGATTGTTGTCCAGAGGCATTGTGCTTCTTCAAGATAATGCACGTCTGCATGCTGCTGCATTGACGAAGAACTTGCTTCAGCAGTTTAAGTGGGAAGTTTTTGAACATCCTTCTTATAGCTCTGACTGGGCTCTGAGTGATTACATCTTTTCCCAAAACTGAATGAATTTTTAGCCAGGAATCACTATGGAAGTGACAACAAACTGAAAGAGGCTGTTAATGACTGGTTCAAGAACTTGGCAGTAACTAAGTGTGCAGAAGGCATAGAAAAGCTAATGATACGCTATGACAAATGTTTAAATTTGTATGGTGACTACGTAGAAATATAGCTAAGGTATCATATATGTTGTTTCATTATCTTAAATAAAAATATCTAGCGAAACAAACGTTCTTTACTTTTAGAATGACCCTCATATTAATAGATAGAAACAACACTTATAAATCACTTACACTGTGATGGTATCTGTTGCCAATCCTGGTAGTCCCAAGTACAATCTGGGGCCCATTTCGAAAATCTTTTGGAAATCGACTGCCACCAGCTGGGCCCGCACGCCAAAGCGACGGTCCGACGCTATGGCCACACAGTCTTTGCCTTTCATGGCAATGACCAAACCACCATTATATTCCATAATACTCTGAAAAGAAAGATACTTTTATTATTTCTTAATACAATAAATAGATTATAATACATCATAATCTTAAAATGTATAAATTTATGATTTAAAAATTAATTTCTAAGCAGCCAGCCTAACTGCATATTGTATTTTTCTCTTTTTTGCTTTTTTATTTTATGTTTTTTCTTTTCCTTTCACTCTCGAGAAAAAAATTATCATAATTCAATAAACAAAGAAAGAAAAATTTTTATTAAACAATTTTATTAACATGGTATGATTTTTTAAAATCATACCATGTTAATAAAATTGTTAAAAATTACATCTTTTATAATGCATTAAGGGTAATTTAAATGTTTTACAAAATACACATAAACATTTGTTTTTTAATGTGATTTTTGTTGCTGCATATTAGATGATAAGGATTTTACATCTGGATTATGCTTTGTTATTTTTAAAAGTACACATGCAGAGCTTGATTCGTCCATCATCCTATTTCTAAATTTATTTTTTATAAAATTAATTTCAGAAAATAGCGACTAGCATGCCCACGTCAATGAAAATATTGATAAAATTGCTTTTGCTAATGTTTTTAAGCAATCAAAAGTTTCAGGAATTGCATTCCACGTGGTTAGAATTTCATCTTCGGCACTTTTATTTATTATACCCAATAATCGATTATTTTCAATTACTTCCAAATCTTTTCTTAAATCAGCAAATTTTTGGTTTCATATGGAGCTTGACTGAAAATCAATTACTTGCATTCCTGTCATGCAAGTTTAACCAGTCAAAGAGTTTTAAATTTAATTTATCAAAAGATATTTTATAGGGATATAAAATTGTCTAAACTGCATAAATCTTGCAGAAAATTCCTGGGTCAGGGATTGAATTATCGCTGAAAATTCTTTTGTTAGTTTCTCTTGATTTGGTTTTTCATGACTTTCAATGCCAGAAAAAATTTTTGTATTCAAAACATGTTTATATGAATTTGAAAGAATGTCGCAATTAAAAACTTGTAATTTGACTTTGAACGCTTTGATTAACCCCAAACATTACAATGATCATTTTATTAACACCTTGTAGCTTGATATTTAACTCATTTAAGTGAACATAAATCAGTAAAAAAATAGTTTTGCAAGCCATTCTGCACCCATTAATTGACTGTATTGTTCAATAATATTCTCATTATTTAGAAATAATCTAATTTCCCCCAAACAATCTACAAATCTTTGCAAAAGTTTTCCGTGGCTTAACCACTGTACATTATTGTACAAAAATAAGCTACTGTATGATAAGTTTACCTCGTTTAACAATTCTTGAAATTTTCTTTAGAGCCCGTGCTGATATAAAATTCACTATTTTTGTCACCAAACACAATCATAATCCAAAATTTTCAAACCTGTCTTGGCACATAACACTTGCTGGTAAATAATGCAATGGAACCCAAGAATTGAATGTCCAATACGTTTTGTAAATAAATTTATAAACCCATTTTCCTGTCCAATAATGCTGCGAGCACCGCCAGTTGTTACTGACACAATTTTGGAAGTACATATTTCTTTTTTGCCCAATGCATCTATAAATGCCTTACAAATGTCTACTTCTTCTGTTGTTGTTGTTAGTGTTGATAAACTTATTAATTCTACTTTTTTGTACGTTATTTTCTTCAAAATAATGTACAAAAATTGGTAAAAGAGCTGAACCTGTTACATTGGTGGACTCAACGCAAATGGAAATAAAATTGCAAGATTTTATATCTATTTGTTGTTGAAAGCTTACATTTTCTACCATTCCCAAAATTCTCTCATTCACCGTATTCCTTGCTATTGGTATATCTTTAATTCTTTGGATAATTTTTTCTTTATTTTCAAAATTTTCGAATAAGTACAGTGCACATTGCAACCAAGCCTCCTTTAAAAATTTACCTTCAATAAAAGTTTCCTGTATTGAGAAATAGCTTTTGAAGCTTGATAACTAGCAGTAGTAGCATTTGATTAAGTTCCAATATATTTCATTAAGGATGTAGCTTGGGCATTTTTATTTTTGAAAACACATGATATATACTCCTTTTGCTCTTTTTCACTTTGATTGTGAAGAGATTTGTGGTTGGTTTCATAATGTCACTATACTGATGATGTTCTACAAACCACCGTTCCTGAACATAAAATTTAAATAGCTTTACCGTCCTTATTAATCATGCCATACCTATCGGTCCACCAAGTTTGAAATTCTCTGCTACTACCTGTTTCTGATAATTTCAATTTTTTCATTGAACTAGTCATAAGAAATTCTAAAAAAAAATAATTTAAAACCTTATGAATTTAAAATATACATATAAATGCAATAATTACCTTAAAATAAAACCGTAGTGTTTGTAAATAATTATATTTAACATGTCAATGATTAAAGTTTTAAAATGACACATACAAATGCTCGGAATTACAAAGACTAATGGCTCATTGGCAATGCAGTCTGTTTTCACAACAGAGCAAATTAATGCGCACAACCACAGGACTGCATCGATCATACCACAAAATGATATTATATAATAGGTAGATATTCAGTACTATAAATTTAAATCATAAATTATTTTTAAAGTATGGATTGTTGAATTCTAATTCATATTTTTTGTGCAAACCATCAAAATTTTCTTTTGTGCCATAGNCGGCAAGAAGCCCTAGAGTTTACTTACAGTATAAAACTTGTATCCTGGGTATCGGTTTAGAAGGGTCAACCATCATATTTTATTTTATTTTTTTATTTTTTTTTTAGTTTTTAAGTAAAGTTTTCCAAGAGTGCTTTTTAAGCACCAGAGATAGAATGGAATACAAAATGAAGGAAACAATTGTATGTTAGCTTTTGTAAAAGAGCTCTTGTTCTCCTTATCATCGATGCGAAAAGAAGTAATTTTTTTTTTATTCTTCTTATTTTTTTTATCTAGGATCAGCAAAATTTTCGGTTGTTCAACAATTTATGGTTTTTCTCTGGTAGATTTTTACTACTTTTAGAATATTGGTTTCTTCTCTTCAATCGTCGACGAATTTCGTATTTGAGGTATCCTTGGTAAATATGTAACAGTAAGATTTCTGAAAAAGTCGTTAAAAATGTGCATCTGGATATGTACGCCCCGCTTATCGTATGAGACTGATAAGAATATTCTTTTTTTTAAAAAAAAATCATATTTTTTGTGCGTGCCATCATAATTTTCTTTCGTGCCATAGGTTCACCATCCCTGAAATAGGGCATCTATAATATATACCTCTAAATAGCAGACACATTGAATAACAGATGCTGTTATCCATCCATAACCTACCTTATAAAAACACAAAGCCCCGTCTTCAATATTCTGAAAGAATTATGTACGAAATATTTTAAAACAAAAACAAATAATAGGTTCAAATACTCTTCCAGACGACAAATTTTGACTATAGGCATTGAATAAAGACCGACTTAAAATAGGAATAGGGGAGGAGGACAGCTTATAAAAGGCCAAACAATAATCATCTTCATACATATTAATGTTATTAGACTTCTGCCTTATTGTTGGAATTACTCTTCCAGTCCCAAGAAACCATAAACTTTTCTAAAGTTATTCACTCATTTGACAAGAACCGTAATACAACAGTAATAAATAAAAAGTTTTAAGGTTATTTATTTATGAAAGTTCAAAGATTGTGTTATGAAGACGATTTGCCTGCCACTTTAAAATGTAGGAAGATATTTGGTTTAACAGCTTTGTGGTGGATTAAATGCAATTTTTAATAGACCAGTTATTAAAAAAATCGAAAATGTTCAAAAAATTACACCTATTTGATACCTACAAAGTAGACAAATCATTACATTAATTTTTATTAGTCACTTAAAATGATGTTATAAATGCAAGAATAATGTACATATTTCTTACCCCTTGAAGTGGCTAGCAAATTGTCTTCATAACTCAACATTTGAACTTTCACTGCCTAAACCCACCTTTATCCACCCTTATGTTCATAATAAATTTAAATTTTTGTTTCATTACTTCCACCCAGGTTGTTTTTAATGAATAATTAAACAATATTTATGTTTTGTTGTAATTTTTATCTTTCATTTAATTAAAGCATCCTGTTCAATCGGCTTGCTATTTAAAATTAAATTAAAATGAGATTCTTACAGTTAAAAAGATACCAAATATAGCCTAAATTTTAAATACATTTGCTAAGTATACTTTTCAGTATTTTCACATTCCTAATGCAAGTTTGATGTTTTTGTAATCATTGTATTCTATACTATATGACTGCGTAAAATACAACTGGCACATCTCTCCTAATAGCACACAAACTTCTTGGTCCCGACATGTCTGCTATTCAGAAGTTATACTGTATTTGTCTAAGTTTGGCACGATTCGGACTTGACTTGTTCGATCACACAGCGAATACAACTTTCAGCCTGGAAAGAATATGTTTAGTGAAAACACTGTGTGTTTGACATTGAATTTGACACAATTGAAATTGAGTCAGTGCAGAAGCTTTAGGCAGACTGAAAAATTCATGCATGTTATCTACTATTGATATCCAAGAAAATATGCATTGTAATTCAGGCTCCCCATACTCGTTTCTACTTGCACTATGTGGCATATGACAAGCAATTCATAAAAATCTGATCTAGATTGTCTTGATATCAAAATGTCAAAAAAAAAAAAGTATATGACCTCTCTAAGATAATAATTTCAAATGTTCATATTAATCTAGCTATATGCAAGATATCAAATATTCTGAGAAGCAACACACACAAACCAAATGACCTAACAAGTTGGTGTACAAAAAAATTAAGTTCAGAATATCTTGCATCATTTTGGCTTTCTGTACACATCAGGAAGATCTGTAACTGAAATAAGATATCAAGTTTGTGTGATAAAATATTGTAAAAATATATACATATAAATAAAGCCTCAACCAAATCAAATCTTTAAATGCAAGGCGATCTCAGACTACAGAATTCGAATAGACAATAATTAATTTACCAAATTAAGGATGTACAATTAACTGCGAGCAAAGCCAGAGAAATACAAAGTTTTCCTACCCGGTTAAAGGGCCATCACAGATAAAAGTCAAATCGTAAAAGCAATTTCACTTTTACCTGCCCGAAAACGGCCCATTAATCGAGGTAAAACCATCGTTCACCAACCATTAAAAGTGCATTGCTTAAAAACTACATTAATTCGACTCGACGTCAAAAAATAAATAAAAATACGGCTCCGAACATGGCAGTCGGGATCTTATCAAAGCTGCAGAGCAGGCCCACAGAAGTAAAACAGTAAAACGAATTAACCAAAATACAAGCCCTTTGCACGATATAGTATATATCCCAGTAGTAGTCCGTACAACGGCATTTATCACATTTCAGAAGTTTTTAGCCATCAAACGATTTCCAGATTTAAATTGGGCTACTTTACTCCTACTAGTAGTAATAAAGTTGCCCAATTTAAATATGGCAATTATCCAGTTGGGCAATATTTTCAGAAGTATTCTGGAATTTTCACTTTTAAATTTTACTTCATTTTTAAGGTCTTCAAAATTCCACATAAGCTACGTCTTGCAGTCGCACACAGACCGACGATTCCTTCGACTCTCTCTCTCGCTCCCACGGGCGAGGTCTGCGACTTCGACTGCCCCGTGCGGAGCCGTAAACGGATTTCGATATTCAAAATTGATCTTCGGGTTGTTTGGATTGAACATTTGCTGATTGTACCTTGCATAATCAGTGATAAATGGGATACCCCTTTTGTAATTGTAATACCCCTTTTAACAAAGAATTCTCTCTGAAAAAGGAGAAGTAATATAATATAAAATTTAACATTAGAAACAGCATTGAAATGTCATTATTTTCATATTAAACTCATTTAAAATGCCATTCTCATAAGCCACCATTCAAAAGCTCATCAAACACAAGAGTTTTGTGATAAAATAAACTATTTTATCACATTAAAAAGTATATATATAAGTATCTTAATATATAAGTAATACTTTACAAAGGTTAATAAAATCTAAAACATTAAATAATCACCATTTTGAATCGAATTTGGTCGTCACCACAACTTTTCAACAACTCCAAACAGCAGAATCATTCAAGAATAGCGCCTCCTCGTGTCGAAAAAGCGATCGTTGTATAATAATTATTATTTTTTTAAATTAAAGTTTGATTAAATATATTAATTTATACAAATAAAATGTATTATTTTTTATATATTTTAATAAAATAGTTTAACAATTCAATTAAATAAGTTATTAAGCAAATTTTTGAATCGCGTCCATTTGCCTGGAAGGTGGAATGTGATCGGAATTCGGTTATAATGTTTGGCGATTATTTTGTAATATTTTTGCAACGAAACATTTTATTGCAAAGATGTCTTGTCAAAAGTAATAGGGAGAGTTTAATAGTCCGTAATAAACAAAAGATAAATGATCTCGAAACACGCTTAAAGCTATTGAACGGCGATTTACAAATTATAGATGTTTCGGAGGGTAAGCGCGTAGACAATGCTTGAACGCCCTTCCCTCCCTCCCTCCCTCGCCGTTGTATACAATGATGAGCTTTTCGTGGCACCTCTTCCCTTAAACTGTACACGCGATTAATAGCAATTAGATCGAAGACCTCAAAATCAAGAAAAGGGTGATAAGAGAGAAGAAGAGACAAATGATCCTCTTCAGGATGCAGAAGTCGGTGGGCTTCCGCCAGAGTCCTCTGAGCGTCATAAAAATCTAGGCCTTCTTCAAAGTCCTCAAAATATCCTCCCGAACTTAGAGAGCGGGAGAATCCCAAGATTTATTGAGACAAAGCTAAAGTAGCATGGCTCAGAAAGGTTTTCGTGGTTTACGAAAGGGAGTTGGAGATCAAAGCCAATTTCCAGTGCGCAATGTTCAGAGATCCGCCTGAAAATAAAATGTCCAAGATAGACTGGAATTTCTCTTGCTGTTGTTTTGGCAGAGGCAAGAAATCCAAAACTCATATTTATTCAAACAACTTTTAACAATATTGCAACAAGGGATACAATAGTCAATAACTGGTTAAGTGCACATTTTGGCAGATTGCTCGTTCTCATTATTCGATTCTTTCTTTAACGAAAAATTTAATTTTGCAGACATTGAAGAGTAATTCGAGAAGTAAATTGGCGTACATTTTGAAATAAAGAGATCCTCCGGCTCAGTACCTCTTTACAGCAAATGCCTGTCGTTAAGTGGAAAAAAAGGATTATTTTATCAATTCGTCACAGACTCCCGGATTGGCCATTTTAACCTGGACTTGGCAGCAATAACCGGATTTGATGAATAACCCGAATGTGACTGTTTGTCTCCGATGTGTGACGTTAAATCCCGGAATGTGACGGAAGGACGATTCGTAAATGGATATACAAATATAATACAGCAATCGTTTATTGTTTAAAGATGGATGATTCTGTCTCACGATTTAACATCAGTCATTCTTATACACATATAAGTGTATTTACTGTATAGATAAACGTACAGTACCGCCATGTGTTTGTATTAAGTTCCCAACAACAATTACTTGTAATCTGCTACTTACGTTCGTAGAAGTCGTTACTCGTATTTAGATGTAAATTGGAATTTTAAATGTTGACTTCGCATCGATATATTTAAAATTCTGTACAAACTCGTACTAAAAATCAATTTCTTATCATTTCTATTACTTTTCTATTTCTTATCATTTCTTATCATTTCTAAATTTAATATTATAAATGAATAAACTTTCGTAATAATTTTACAATTTATACATAAATAATTTCAAAGGGAGTTACTAGAAGGATACTGTATTATAAATGGTTCTAAGATAACTCTATTAATTTAAACATGAAGGGAACACTTGTACATCTCTAGCTATGTACTGTACAAGGTTAAATTTAACGTTTAATCACAATTTAAATATTCCCCTTTTTCTTTTTACTGCTTGTATACTTAGACTGGCTGCCCTACCTCCAAACGTAGATGATCTTTTGCCCCGTGGCGAAGATCAAATTAAGTTTTCTGTTCACATTTACCCGCCTTCTTCCGCCTTCTTCACTTTTACTGAGACGAAATCAATCAAACGAGGTACAGTTGTTGATTGCGTGATGGCAGGAGTGTTCTCAATCATCGGCTCATTAACACATTCTGCCGGACCATTTTGTAATAGTGACGATCTCATTGGTAGCAGAATTAAATATTGATCCTGCGACTCAGATTTCGAGTAACGACTTAAAATTTTTGACCATTGATCAATGAACACATTGCTTTGTGGGTATCTTGGACTGGATGTTATAATGTTAAAGCAAATGTGAAAATGTGATGTACTGCACGTTTGTAAATTATCGTTGTGTGACACCATGATACAGCCCGAAGTCACCATATTCATATTTTCTATCAACTATTGAAATTTATGAATAGTGACTGATGAGGAACCTGACAGGTCAGAAATGCATTTTACAATAAATACATTAAAAAAGAACAAAACTGTCCCAAGTTCTTTCTGTTTCGTTATGCCAGTGTGGGAAAAGTGCACTTACACGAAATATATCAATAATAAGTGAACGGACAAAAAGCAATTTGAATAATACTACTGTTTATATTACATGATCCTTTATATTACATGACATGCCTAAAACGAAATTTGATTAAATTCTTCTGTTTCATTTATACTTCCTTTAGCTTTACAGAACCACACGAACCTGTATTTTTGCATTTATTACATACCGCCTTACCTAAAGGACAATTTAGCTTGGTACTTTTCACAGGTTTTCTACACCAATAACAGCAATTCGAAGTTTTGTTTTCGGTAGCTTCTGACTTTGGAAATACGTGCTTCCTCCGTACAGTCTTGCCTAATGCATAGGCCTATATATTATTCCCGGAATTGTTCTTAAAAGCTTCCTGCTGCTTTTCACTGTTTCGACCTGTTTCGCAGTGTTTATAGCTTTTTCCACAGTTAGTTGAGACGAAGTATTTTACGAATGCCGCCTTAACTTTGGAATAGTCAAATGCTCTCCTCGTCCGGGAGACTAAATGACGTCAAAAGTTCCTGAGTTTTCTGGCCCATTTTCTGGCATATTAAAGAATCTACCTGGTCCACTTCTTTTTTATTATGGAGACCAGCTGTTCGAAACGCTCTAACCATGCTGTTGCTATGAGGTCGATGTTATCTTCTTAAACAGAAAATCATCCATTTGGGATTTTACCAAAGAGTGACTCGTTGGAGTGAAGTAAAATGGACAATAAAAGCAATGCACACTGAGGGATCAATCGAGATGGGAGAACGAGGGATCAAATTGATATAAACCCGTGTCGTGGAGACACGGGAAGTGTTATTTCGGTTTCTCTTAGGGGTGAAGAAAAATTATGTATTCTAGATATGTATATATATATATACATAATATTATAATTCATTTGCAAACATTTTTATGCATAAAGTGCACCTGAAAAAGTAAATAAAACATGATGTATTATTTCATTTTATATTGTTTCTTATGTAAAACTTTCCTAAAAGTTGTTCTAAAATCGAAACAAAGAATTATGTTCGAAAACCGAAGTTTGACCGTATAAAAAAGTTCCGTTCTTCTAGTATCAGTTCTCATTTATTTTCTGGTAATTTAGAATAATCTTAAATACAAAACTGACACACTACATAAGCTATGTTAGTTTATTAATAAGTGAAAAGCATATTGTTTTCAATATGCTTTCTTCATTTATTTAAATCGATACAATTAAATGCGATTCAAGAATACAAATTATATCAAGAATATTTGAATATAAAATAAAAAACACGAATACGTAGTAATACAAATGCCATTGTTTGTTGCACATTATTTACGCATTCAAATTAATTAATAATATTCAATAAAGCATCTACGTCACAGGGGAAAAATACATTATTATTTTTTACCATTATTTAACATTCTGATCGAATCAAATGAAGAAATTACTAATTTAAAACTCCATTAAAGTTCAATCTGGCGTATCGAATATAATATTAAAAAATCATAGAGGAACGAACTCAAACTCAACGAAACTTCAAATTATTAATTTGTTGTAAAATATTTAAAATATTCATTTAATTGACGGATTTAAACTTGTGAGTAGAATTCATTCGGTCATTAGATTTTCGATCGAGTTTAGACAAGACATATAAAGTATATTATTTAATTCATCTTCAGTGTTTTCGTTATTTTTTGCGATATTTCAAAGCATTTTACATCAACAGTGAGTGCAATATAAGTAAATATCATAATCTATTCTAATAAACTAATCAAAAAGATTGATTACGAGGCATTTGCGTAAATCCATTATGTGATAAAATACAATTATAACATATTTTTAAGGAGTAAATACAATAAATTGAAATATTCGCAACGTTTTATCATAAATGAAAAATTCGAAGTAAACCGTGTGGTGTTTCTCTTTTCTCTATGCGATTACGGATGAAGACGACGTCCGCGACCCTTTGAAAGTAAAATGTTCCTTTCTTCTATCGGCAACTCAGTCGCTGCATCCTCATTTGTGAAATGTACAGTAATTGCATTATTACAGTCAAATGAAAAGTTTTCGTTAAATCACTTCTGTGATGTTTGAAGTACAAGTCCGATAGGCGCGGTAAAGTTGCACAAATAGCAATCATTATCACCACATCACCCAATCAGCGCTTAAACTTTTGCGCTGAAAATCCTGCAATGGCCGAATGTTTGTTTGATGAGTTTTAGCATCGTTTCCTATCGGCCATTTATAGATTTACCCCGATAAACAGAAATAACCAGGAGGAGGCCTTTCCTCGAGTAAATCATCTCGGCAGGCTGCTTGAAATCGACAGTGTAATATAATGCTAACTAACATATTTTTGGTTTTAAATCGTTTCTGCCATCCTCGAGACACTGTCGACTACTGCGGCAGAAAAACTTTCCTTCTGCCCATTTCAACTTATGCTGTAAGAGCCGCTCAAAAGTCTATTAAATGCAATTTTCACTTCACAGTTGCTTCAGTACGTTACTCGAATGATTCGGTTTGTCATATGTAGCAATTTAGATATAGTTTTGTACGCACATTCTGCCCCATTCCATTTCAACCGTTTCCTCATTCTCCGCTAAACCAATAGCTTCATCCAGCGTATCTGGCCA